GGTCGGGTCTTGCCTTTCCAAAGTGTTGCCCCCTTCTGTGTTGCCCTGATTTATGAGCCAGCAATTAGGTTTTCGTGGATTTCCACGTCTGTTTTCCCTGACTAATTTGCTTTTGCGAGGCCGGTGGATGGCCGTTGAGTTTCAACCTAGTGTACAGGTTTGCAGTCCGTGTGATGGCGAGCGCTGCAATGTGGGTGGCTTGGGACAGGGCGCCATTTTTGGGAGGAAAGATGGCTGCCGAGCTTCAGCCTTTGCTTGGTAAACGGCAACGAAGCTGGGTTTTCTCCAGCATTCGCTTCAGTGCCTCACCCGCACTGAGCTCCGTGCGCAGCCTCTCTTTGCTGCCTTGCCTGTGGAGGCCTGCAAACATGCAAGTACAACATTGAATGCACAAACCCCCTGGACAACCTCATCCGGCTACAAGGCATCACGAGCACAAAGGCTGAAGATGGACGTCGGTTGAAATGCTGGGTGTGCGACAGCATCAGGCATCTTCACTGTCTTCATGAGCTGTGGGACCTTCTCGACCCAGCATGCATTCCGAGAAGGCTCAGGAGCGGCCAACAGAAAGGATCAGCCACTATGGCTTCCACGGACATTCCTTACAGACCGGTGCCTTCTCCGCTGAACCGAGGAAACGGGGAGAGGTGGCACGTGGGTGACATGCTGGGTGCGCAGCGGGGCAGGGCTCCGGAATCTTCTCCACGATCTTCTCCATCTGTCACAGAAATTTGGCACAAGTTTCCCAGAAAACGACTCAACACATGACGTGCCCTCCGAGATGTTGCTAAGCATGCAGCTTGGCCGGGAATCTTGACGGCGATGGGGCGCTCAATCGGCGCCCACGTCTGCAAGACAGGACCATGTCAATGTGGCAAGGGCAAAAGCACCGTGAGAAACTCAAATCGTCCGCCTTCTTGCCCAGAAGGACCGGGAGGCCCCGCAACCCTGGCGTTGCCCGGGTGGGGCACGGCGGGCAAGCCTGGGCACAAAGTCGGATCAAGGCGACCCGCGAGTACAGGTGGGCCAGAAAGGGTCATGCAGAAGAAATTGAGTGAACCCAAAAAGCTATGAAGCTTTCCGATTGCACGTCTCTGTACGCGAAATGGATGCTCACATACAAACACATGCACATGTCTGGATTCAAACATGCGAAGAAGGCACGTCTGCACATTAAATAAGAGAGGGTGCATGGATCAGGCCACGAACGACAACGACCTCACGGCCTGGCGTCCGTATGGATGTCATCTTGCAAAAACATGGCTTGCGACCTCCCTTGGGTCCGAACCCGGCTAGCGCTATGAAGTTCTTCACTCCTTGTGAGCTCCACCCGGCAGCACAGACCTCATCGGTCGGCCCGATCGCGTACGAGCTCCTAATCCCGAATCCCTTCAGGCATGCTCGAACCCGGAAAGCCAAAACCATCACTGAGTACTTTGCTCCGGTCGGTTCAGCCAGCATCACCATAGCAGATGCTATGTCCAAGAGCGTGCGCAGAATAAGGACCCCTCTCTTGCTTTGGGCTGGGCTGGTGTGAGAACGGGCTTCAGGACAGGGCACTGCAAGTGGCTATAGGGGTTGCTTGCATGGCATCTTCTTTCCTCTAGACTTCGGGTACAAGGATCCCGTGTGGGAATGAAGCCCTCGGGTAAGCCCTAAAGGCAAACATACATCCATGGACCTCGTCCTGAAGCCAAACCCTGCAAGACTCGCAAACCCCAAATCCCTCAAGGAGCCACACTGCAGCGAAGCCGGAGAGTCTTGCCCTGGACTGAAGCCTTCCCACCCTTCCCAAACACCCAAAAACCTTCTTCTCTCCACAGATACGCTTGAGCACGCATGTCACCTTATGTATGCCCGAACCTGAATGATGGTTGATGCTGTAAATCTATATGTGTTCATATAAAGGGCACTTGTTGTTGCTATAGTAACTACATTCTTTATGCTGCTAACCCAGTTAGTAACAATGTAGCCATTGCCTAAGCCTCTGAACGGCTAGCACTATTGTCAACTGGTTTGTTATTTTCGACTCATTACTTGTAACCCTGTTTATGATCTTTCTGGTTACAAGCAGAGGGTCCATGATCGTGATATTATTGTACTCAATTCTTGCTGAAACCTCGGCGCTGATCCCTTTATAAAATAGTACTATCTGTTCTTGCCTTAGCCAGTATTCAGTGTAACAACAGGCAAAACCACGAATCTAGCTAAGCTCAAAGTGTTGTATTTAATTCGATTCATCACTTATACGTTGCAGTATGACCTCGAGAATTTGACCTGATAGTGGTTCGAGATACATCAGTGGTTTATCTATACAGACACAGCCTCATCATTAAAGCTGCGGAATTACCCCATTAGTTATAGCGCCAGAACTCACTGCCATATACCTGCGGCCCGTGCAACGAAGTGATAGATGCATATCCAGGACACGAAGCGCACTGCTGTCTATCTGCAACCTCGATGCGCCAAATTACGAGCAATGGCCTGAGGGCAAAACTGCCGCGAGTTTTTTTATTGCGGCCTCCTTCTTCGTGAACTATTCGAGACCACCATATGAGCATTGCATGGATCGAGTACAACGGTCAGATAGGCAGGCCCCTGTGAGAAACGTGCACGAACCGAGTGTGCTGAGTGACTGAGTTATTCGGCTAGGAAAATTATTGTGCTTAAATCTTGTTAGCGCCCACTAGCGATAGTATGACCTGGTCTGCTCATTCGAAAGCTTACAAACAATCCACGCAGCATATTAGGCGAACACAGAACATGTATGGTACATTACAGATGTCCAGTGGCCCAGCCTTAGTTAACGTATGCTCAGTTGCCGACTTCGGTGCCACCTGCAAGTTATTGTTCAGCGACAGGCAGTTCCCACATTAGTATCTACGGACTAAACTACAGCCCAGGCATCCCAAACCACTGTCCGAGCCATTCGTGCCATCCATTAACGGTTGAGCCCATTGCTAATACTTTCATGTCGGATCTTATTAGTTTTTTTTGTTCACGTACATTTAAGACGAGCTTTGTATTTTTTGAATCAGAGCCAAAATTATGTTCGACAGGAGAGGGTCCATTATCCCCTACCAGGTTAGGAATTTTAGGCAGGTATTGTTGGCTATACTACTAAGCTTTAATTGACCTCCGTCCAGTATTATTAAACGTCCACAAATTAGGTCCTGAAATATCATAGTATCTAAGTTACGGTATTTACAGGCTAAATTTAAGTATAACGGATAAGGTGTGCGCATTATGCGGACAGGGATTTAATTAGGGCCTTAGTATCCTATTACAACAAATTCGCTAGACATTAGTATTAGTAGTTCTTACGCCTATAGGATAATACTTGTTCATATGCTCTTCCATTGTACAGACACGCACACATATACACATTACATATGCAATTATAATTAAATGAACAACGAATTAGTGCATTATTATCTATCTATCTATCTATCTATTAATATAACTATATACATATATACTAATTTAATGTGCCTAAAGGTATGTGTGAAGGAGTGAGGTGTTGAGAACATACGGCGACAACGCCGGCACATGCGTATATATATGCATATACACACACTTCGGGTCGAAGGGTTCTCCGGGTCTTGCCTTTCCAAAGTCGTTGCCCCCTTCTGTGTTGCCCTGATTTATTTAAGAGCCAGCAATTAGGTTTTCAGGTGGATTTCCTACGTCTGTTTTCCCTGACTAACGTTTTGCTTTTGCGAGGCCGGAGGTGGTGGATGGCCGTTGAGTTTCAACTCTAGTGTACAGGTTTGCAGTCCGTGTTTGATGGCCTTAATTTTTAGAGCTTGGGGCCCATTCAACTCTAAGGCAATCGTGGGTGGCTTGGGACAGGGCGCCATTTTTGGGAGGAAAGATGGCTGCCGAGCTTGTGCTTTTGCTTGGTAAACGGCAACGAAGCTGGGTTTTCTCCAGCATTCGCTTCAGTGCCTCACCCGCACTGAGCTCCGTGCGCAGCCTCTTCTTTGCTGCCTTGCCTGTGGAGGCCTGCAAACATGCAAGTACAACATTGAATGCACAAACCCCCTGGACAACCTCATCCGGCTACAAGGCATCACGAGCACAAAGGCTGAAGATGGACGTCGGTTGAAATGCTGGGTGTGCGACAGCATCAGGCATCTTCACTGTCTTCATGAGCTGTGGGACCTTCTCGACCCAGCATGCATTCCGAGAAGGCTCAGGAGCGGCCAACAGAAAGGATCAGCCACTATGGCTTCCACGGACATTCCTTACAGACCGGTGCCTTCTCCGCTGAACCGAGGAAACGGGGAGAGGTGGCACATGGGTGACATGCTGGGTGCGCAGCGGGGCAGGGCTCCGGAATCTTCTCCACGATCTTCTCCATCTGTCACAGAAATTTGGCACAAGTTTCCCAGAAAACGACTCAACACATGACGTGCCCTCCGAGATGTTGCTAAGCATGCAGCTTGGCCGGGAATCTTGACGGCGATGGGGCGCTCAATCGGCGCCCACGTCTGCAAGACAGGACCATGTCAATGTGGCAAGGGCAAAAGCACCGTGAGAAACTCAAATCGTCCGCCTTCTTGCCCAGAAGGACCGGGAGGCCCCGCAACCCTGGCGTTGCCCGGGTGGGGCACGGCGGGCAAGCCTGGGCACAAAGTCGGATCAAGGCGACCCGCGAGTACAGAGTGGGCCAGAAAGGGTCATGCAGAAGAAATTGAGTGAACCCAAAAAGCTATGAAGCTTTCCGATTGCACGTCTCTGTACGCGAAATGGATGCTCACATACAAACACATGCACATGTCTGGATTCAAACATGCGAAGAAGGCACGTCTGCACATTAAATAAGAGAGGGTGCATGGATCAGGCCACGAACGACAACGCCGGAGTCGTCTTTGGAAAGACTCCGGGGCTGCTGATATTGCTGGGGTCTCGACAAGGCCACAGCAACTGCCCGGCATGTTGGAGCTGCCAGCCTCAAAGCTGGTTTCTTGATGGTTCTGGATGTCAACCTCTTGACCTTAAAGGAACTCCAGCTGTGATGTATGTCGGTCTTCACGCGGCCGCGGGGCCTTGCAGCTGTTCCCGCTCATCTGCAGACTTCCGCAGTTGCCGCTGCAACCTCCCATGCGCTGTCCGCAGCCACCGCAGCCACCTCCGCAACCCCCAGAACCTCCACAGCCGCAACCCATAGCCATCATAGCCATGCCAGGATTGGGAAGGCTCGGCTCGGTAGGCACACTTCCTTTGCCTCCCTTACCCTTGCCACCCTTTCCTGCGCCTTTTTTCTGAGGGGGCTTGCGTGCTCCTGTGCCGCCAGTGACCTGGTGCGCCTTCATTCTCCCGCTTCTCTTGTCAACCACCTCGCTGTACTGCACATGATCCCCCTCATTCAGCGGGGCGTCGATCACATCGCTGCCTCATCAAAAATGCTTTCAGGCTTAAGAAGCAGAACGCCAAACAGCCATTTCCCAATGCTCAAACCACACTGTGCAAGATAAGCCACGATGGACGAAGAGGTCATTGCCACCACCATTCTGCTTGATGAAGCCAAAACCTTTCTCATCGTGGAAGAACCTCAGAAATCTGCCGATGAGCCCGATGAGACACGATTCCACCCCTAACACAAGGTCTTCATGGCGAGATGAGGAACTTGACCACGCCGGACTTGATGCCACAGCCACCCGGCATGGGTGCGGCCTTTCCTGGCGAGTGATGAAGACAAATTGCCCTGGATCTGCGCCTAGGGCAAACTGACAAAGTTACGCCATGCCGAGGAAGCCTGCGCCAAGGCCGCAGCCCCCACCTCGGCCGGGATAAGTGCTATACGCGCGTACACACATAATCGGTCATAGGTATACTCTCATGGGGAAAGAAACATAGATAGATAGGCAAATAGATTATAGATTGATGGATGGACAGAAAGATCAGCATAGGATAACATGGAACAGATGATATCTATATCTGTATTGTTTATATCTACGCTACATTTGCTTGCTTGTTCATCTAAAAACATACCTGAGGCAGACGCCTAGCATCAAGCCGCAAGGAGCCGGGCTGCCCCAAGGGCTGCAGCCGCAGCCACCGGGAACCGGTCCGGCAACAAAGCCTCTGTTCAGAGGTTGCGGGCTTGAGGTTCTGGATTTGAGGGTTTTGGGATGAATATGTGCGACAGAACCCACCAAAGACTGTCCTGGAAGCTGCTTTTTTCAAAGACTTACACTTGTGCTAAAGGCACACGAATTCAGTGATAGACTCAGAAACCTCTTCGAGACAGTGGCCTCCTCCCTTGCCCTTGTTGCCTGTCTTGCCCTTTCCTCCCTTGCCACCTGTGGCACTAAGGAGATCAAACGAGACGTAACTGAAAGATTGACTCTGTGCATGCCACATGTCCACCTTGTTTTCCGTCTCTCGGATCTCCTTTGCCACCTGCAGACCCATGGCACTCGGGATCGGGGATTAGGGCCTCAGGCACTTGAACAGGATGCCTGGTGCAGGTCCAGATCCTCCGGCGACGCGGAAAGCCTTGGGTTTGCCCGTGCGCTCGTTCAGGCCTTCGTCGAAAGTGACCTCGCACTGCTTTGATACTTAGCAAGAATGAACATCTTGCGTTTCATAACCCCTTGAGGTTGATGTTACAACACACATGAAACATGATTCCCAAGCGACACAAGCGCCAGGGCAAGCAAGCAAAGCACCACCTGCCTTGTCTCCCTCCTGCAGTGTTCCACCAATAACATCCGTGCACCGAACGAATAGGTCCTCGCAAGCAGACTGGAGATACTTCCGCAACAAACCGCGCAGAGCATGCTGGCACTTGCAGCAACGCGGAACAGGTCCGTGCGGGATCCAGTTGGAACGATGAATCCGAAGCCCTGCAGGCACACTTGTGTGGGGAGTCGTGATGCGTGCTCTGTTGCACTGGCGGCAGGCCTTTGCATTGTCATACTTCTTCACAACACCGGTCAAGGCCATGATGCTAGAAAACACAAGCTGATTCCAGCGAGCCAGCTGTCTCACACGCGAGCGAACAATGCATCGCGATTGCTGAATGCTTTTTCACTTGCACTAACAATTTGGAACCTATCGCCTCTTGGTCCTCGCTTGAGTATCTGCACACCAAGGCACGTACACATCCATCTCCTTTTTGCGACGCTTCGCGCGAAGCCGGGGCACGGCCCGTCGGGACCGGAAGGGAATCCCATCCCAGGCATCCCGGGCGTGCTATTTTCTTTTGGGCCATCCCAGGGAGCTCTTCGAAAGTATCCGGCTTGACGACGAAGATGAGAATTGCACGATGCTTGCGCTGGCCTTTATGGCCATGGCCCATGGCTGCTACTGCTACTGCTTGAGACCCCATTAATTATATACTGTTCTATTCCTGCTCAATCGTGGTATATTTGTCGCTCCGGCTTTGTCAGCGCCGCTGCTGCTGTTCCTGTTGTCTGAATTCCATTCAGATGCCACATTGCCCTTTATCAATCTACTTGGAAACGAGGTCAAACAAGGCTGGATGCCTGTGCGCAGCACTGTGATGAGTTTGCAGGTTGGTGTGGCGAGAGGGGTGGTCGCCGCGCCGAGCTGGCACCACAGGAAACACCTCAATATCTGGGCAAGTACCTCCCCCACTGATTTGATGAACTGAGATGAATTGCCACATCTCTTTCTTGCAGTTGGTGCTTGGGCTTAGTCTAAGCCAACTGAATGACAATGTGCATGTTGCCACCTCATGCCACCAGTTTTCAATGCCTGTGTGCTTTAGCCTCTTACCGCTGGGTCGTAACAAGTTGTGAGAAGCTGCAGCTCTTTGCCAGCGAGATTTTTCCAGAGCTGCAGCTGCTTCAGGGAAGTCCGGAACAAATTGGTGGGACTGCGTTTGCAAGCGGGATGGCCACGTCGTCGTTGTAGTGTCGCCGCAGTTTGGACGGCAGCAGGCATAGATGCCGTTGCGGTGGCAGGAGCAGGATTCGCACTGCGAGCCGTCGTCGTAGCGGTAGTGAGGTGGCAGCTCCCCGCCCTCCGCTTCGATACTGCAAGGCGAGAGCCTGTCAATTTCCCACTACCTGTAGCGGTGTGTCAGTCTGCGAAGGCCCATCATGGGAGCTGGAGGAGCATGATTGAATGATGCCGTGTTGCAGCTCTGTCTGTTTCTACGCAGATAAACACTTGCAAACGACGACAGAGTTGTGCACTTGGATATCGGAGGTTCCAGTCGCATGACTACCATCTCCGCTTTCATGACTTTGGGTTGGATGTACCGGTACTTCAGAACAACCCCCGAATTGGCCTGGGGCCCTAGGCGTTTCCTAGGTCGCTTGCTTGCCTTTGGCAGGCAACTTGCAAGTTAAACTGCCTCCCACTGCGAGTATTATGGAGAACAGAGGCTCCAAGAGAGACGTTTTTCAAAGCATTTCGGTAACTGAGGAGAATGAAAGCTTGCCAGCTCAGCCGGAGAGGCAGTAGACCTGGCAGGGGCAAAACCCAAAAGCCAGAAAAGGCGGAGAGGAGAGTGCACGAGTGCACGGCAGGCGCGCCTGCATGATCCCCACGATTGCCCCAAGGATTCCCCCAAGGAGGATCAAGATCCACTCCTCAGCACACGCATAGCCTCATAGCCTCCCAAGGAGAGCGCCTCTGAGGGGTCCAGATGCCCACGGCCTTCTTTGGCCCCGGCATCCTCCTGAAAGACGGGGTGGAGCAGATTTTCGAACTCGTCGGCCGGCCTTCGGCTCAGTTGCTCGTCGCGTTTCGCCAGGTTTTTTTTGCACGCTGGCACGGCACGGGGCCCCCGCATGCGCTGGAGACACTCCCTGTTTCGAGCTTCGATGTCCGTCACCTTCGAGATGTACTGGGCGGACACCTCCGACGGACACAGAGTGAAAGTGAGAGTGAGAGACGGAGACACGTGCTTTCCAGCTCCCAGGTTCGACTGTTCAGACCAACCTTCGGGAACCCTGACTCATGCCTTGGGTATGAGTTGTACGACAGCTATGATGGCTCTGATTCAACAATCCATGGACAATCCTGTCCTTCCTTGCAAGGCCCTGACGGAAAATGTGCGTGACGACCTGTGACATCTGCCCCCAGGATGGCTACGGTAGCTGGGGCCTTTCAAGTCTACTCTGCAAGGTAAGTGGGAAAAGGGATTAGGGCTGAAATTAGTGTTACAGGAGCAGTGGTGGTAGCAGTGGTGGTAGTGTTGATAAAAATCATGACATTGCGAATTAGAGGAATCAAGGGATTCTGCTTTCATGGCTGGAGACAGCAGGACGCTCCGGTGGATGCATGCATGCCTTCAGACGCAGTCAGGACCAGCAAGGATACGAAATCAAGGCCGCATGATACTACAATGCAGACGCAGAGACGAACCCACTGCATGTGTAATGCATGAAGCTTTCCAGGGTCAATCAAGCTTGTTCGAAAGAAGACGAATATGTGATATATATATATATATATATACATATATATGCATATGATCATCACGCTCTCAAACACTGAGCTGTAGTCCACCGTGTGCCGTGTGCCCGGCAAGCAAAAGTATGGCCGAATTCACGACATTGTAAACATACATTATAAGTCATTCTCTCCTTTGCAACAGTCGGCCGAGGATCTTCCCGGAACTGGGGCCTTGTGAAGACGATGCGCGCGGTAGAGGCCGTCGACCATGGCTACCTCTCTGCAGAAGAGGCAGCAATAACTCAGACTCTCAGACTCTCAACACTCCCCGCTAATCCCGTGAAGGTCCGGGCCTTGAGGTCCTCTTCCAAGTCCCTGTACCTCAGGCTCAGAACACAAACAAAAACGGCGAAGGGAACGAGGCGCACCAGCCCGGCTCTTTAGGCCGGTGCCCCTCTTTGCCGATGGTCCACTGCGCGAACCAGGTGGCTGAGCCTGGCCAAAGGCCCATGAATCCCTAAAGGAGGCAAGGGCCCGTCACCCTCATATGACCTGGTCGCGCGCTCGGCGCGATGATCATTGCTGATGATGATGACGATGATTAGGTGGAGGCGACGACGAGTATATCTGCAGCTCAAGATCCTACTGTACTGGGTAAGCTGCGGCCGCTAAAGCGGTCGCTCTCATCTAGTTGCGACGATGGTTGCTGTTGTCGTCGTCCTGGTCGTCGGCATGATCGTCGTAGGCAGTGGTAGCAGCGATGCTCCTAAAGAACTTGAACGACAAAGCCCTCAGCCCTAATCCCTAGCACCCGAATATACCCTACCATGCCAATCCCTAAACTCTTCAAGCCCCACAAGGTGAAAACCTCAATGCACCTGAACTGTAAATCCTCAAGGTGCTGCAGAGGTCTTGTCAGTGCGTGGGGCCCGCCTAGGGTCTCCCGAAGCACGGCCGTGGAGTGTGCCACATACGCTGCCTTCAGCTTCTCCCAAAGCCTCAGGGTAGCTTGTCGTTCAAGCTGCTTTGCTTTGCTGGCTCTGGGCGTTGTCTCCGACACGGAATCTGCACAACCCAGACTTCAGGACAGCACTCAGGGAGCGTCTGCAGATAGCCTCGGGATCGAAAGCGTGGCCCGGGTTTGACTTTCCCCATGCGGCCAAGCTGCCGATGATCTTGTTGAAGGAGAGGAAGTTCTCCTGCACCCGTGGACAGAGGGATGCAGTATTCGGTAGCACCTTAGCACTCCTGACTCGCAAGGAACAACAAATCCGAACAGCTCTCCTTCAACATCTTGGCATAGAGCACGCAGACCTCCTGGAGCGAGGCGCTGTGTGTCTCCAAGCGACCCCTCGAGTCTTCGAGCGATCCGAGGATGGCGCAGGCTGTCGCTTCAGGAAGAGACCCTGAGATCAGCACACGCCTGCTGCGGCTCTACGACTCTGATGCCAGGGCCTGGATGTTGCAGATGTGCCAGCCACAGATCCTGCGAGCTCCAAGCGATCCAATCTCACATTCCCAAACCCCTCGCCTCTCTTCTCTCTCTTCTCTGTCCGGATGGGTGTTGGGAAGCAAGGCTTGAAGACCATGAGGATGGCCAGCCTGGACAATCTCAGAGTCGCAGAGCGCTCTGCTATCGACTTCACCTTTTAGCCTCTGAGGGAGAAACCAGTTCGTCACAATGCCCAGGAGGAAGCCTCCAAAAGAGTGGCGAGCAACAGCTTCTCAGGCTCTGGATTGGCCCAGGGGCCCTTCCGTGCTGTGGACCGACGGTAAATGTAAGGAGCTACAAAGCGCGCCATGAAACACACAGTTTGGAAGGTCTGCAAAGAAGTCCTAGTCTTGACAACAGCAAACCTCTCAACATCACTGAAGTCACGACCTGTGGCCGGGAGGAAGATGGCGCGGCCCTCGTCAGAAAGATTGTTGAAGGCTATGAGCTGCAGGAGGCCACCTGGAGAGTCATTCCTGTGCCATCTACCTTTCGACGATGCAGGCGCTGCATTAACTACGATCGAAATGGCGGTCGTAATCATATGTACCTGTAGCTTGCTGTATGATGCTTACACTGCTGATCATGGTGAGGCTAGAGGCTAACAACGATGAGGATGGCGGTGATAGCGATGGTCATGATACTAATGATGATGGCAATGGTAATGATGACGATACTGACGACGCTGCTGACGCTCCCGGGCTTGGCTATGATAAGCCTGATAGGCATGATGGTCATTACAGAATATGACATAATATGACAGGCGCATTATCAAGCTCATGCCGACGACCACGATCATGTGGCATAAAGGTTGCAGTCCCTTCTGTTGGCGAGTTGCAGAGGAAACCCATCATCGCGCCGCAGTGCTCGATGAAGCGGAATTCCTGGAGAAGAGAAGCAAAAGCAGCTCTCTGGGTTTTCACCGTAGACCACGGCACCCCTCACCTGATCACCCAGGCGGAGAAAGAACTCGTTCAGGAGAGGCTTGTTCTCGGTGAAAACCTTCACAATCAGGCCGTCATTATCCTCGGATTCGCTTAGATGCGCTTGCTGGCTCACGGCGGTCAATAGATGCGAGGTCTCACTCACTCTTACGTGCAACTCCGAGTTGCAATGCCGATCTGCTCGTTGCAAAGGAGCTCGGTAATGGTGGTCCAAAGTTGCGGAGAGGTCTCCTGAATCCTGCGGGCAGCAAGATTTAAAAACAGATCAATACCAGCAAAACCGGTGAGGTAGGAGCTCGCGGAAGCCCGGCCGCCCTCATGCTTCAAGCCGGAGGCCCCGCCTGTCCAGTGCCTGGTCTGTGAGGCGGCTACGCATGGATTGGGGCATCCGGTTGTCGGTGCGCGGGAGATACTTCTTCATCGCACTGCTCACTGCATCGTCGATCACCGTCCGCAGTTCGCCACGGACCTCCCAGCAAATCCACGAAAAGCGACGGCGAAGAGCCCTCAGTTGCTCTCCAAGAAAGTTCTGGGCATCGCTTCCTGCCTCCTGCACGAGGCGCTTGGAGTCCACGCGGCCCAGCCAGTCCCTCGGGCCCTCCAAGTACGGCCGCGCACACTTGTAGGACATCCTCCCACAGAGCTCAAAGAGAAAGAGGAGGCCAGTTTTAAGGGCCAAAGCAGAAAGCTCGTCGGGGTTGGGGAATGTTGGGGACTTTCAAGCAGTCCTGGCCATTTTGTCGCACTTCCGTGGGACGAGGCCCTGCCAGCCAACGCCCATCCCTGTCGCTCCGTATTGCCAGAGGCCTCAACTTCGAGATGAAAGAGTTCTGCTGCTCGGAGCTTTCAGCTCTCTGTGGCAAGAGCCTACGAAGTTCAGTGGCAGAAACATCCTTGGCTCTCGATGAACCCCAAGAGAGACGGGAGAGAACAGAGAACACGGCACTGAAACTCCACAGGTCAAGGAAACATCTCGCGCCATGTCGCATTTGAATGGCCAGCCAAATGTGGAACCACGTGAACCTCAAAGCTCGGGCTTGGACACTCAGGCATGCATTTGCCGGCTTTCAATATCTTGTGCAGGGATCTGCCAAGGCGCAGGAGTGCTACGATCGGGATGGAGGCCAAGAGCACGTATCGCCTCACACCAGAAAACTGCAAAAAACACGCGGCGAGACTCAGACTCCGCTGAACGCCTTCCGGAACGCGTTTCCTTATGTCCTTGCCTGGCAGTGGCCTGCTCCGTCGGAGAAAGCTCAGCGTAGACCGTGAAGACGAGCAACGCGGCCATGACCAAGGCGAGGACCTCACAGGAACCCGAAACCGCAGGAAAGTGAACCTTTGCTTTTCTCTCAGCCCTCTGTTCGGCTAAAGCACAGCAAGCAGAACCACCAGCTTGTGCAGAAACCTCGGATTCAGGCATGGCCGGAACAAGTGGCCACTCTGCTTGGGGAGCCCTATAGGCCCTGATGTGCATCAGGCAGTGAACCATAACAAACAAAAAGCAGCAAAACGAGAATCCCTTAAGGACATCTGACGAGGGGCCCCACACTGCGCTTCACGTTTGCCAAGTCCTGCACGAGCTGCTGCGACTCCGTCATGGCCTCCTCCTCGCCTGTCCAACGAAGCAGATGGGGGGAGCGGAGGCTTGCAAGTGCTAACGTCATCATCCTCATCAATAGCAGCATCACCCTCATCACTGTCTGGCACTGGCAAAGCCACGAAGTGAGCCAGGAAAATCCGAATCAAAGCTGGGTCACCGTCGCTTTCAGTGTCAAGTTTGCATCTGCGTCCCAGTCTTCGAAGCACCGGCCTTCGTCCTTCAGGGCCGCGTACGGCACCTTCCAGAGGCCCCCCCCAGAAACTCGAGCATTGCGATATCGGAAGGAAGATACGGGGAGAGAGAGAGAGAGAGAGGAATAGAGCATAACACTTCGCTACAAGAAAAAGAATATCAAAGAGACCATGATGCTCTCATCACTCATCATCCCCTCTTCCACTGGCACCTCGGACTCCTCCAGCGACACCTTGGGTGCGCTGTCGTCGTTGGCGGCGTAGGGCACGAGGTCTCCGGGATTCAGCAGCTCCTGCTCCGTACCGATTCTTCCACAGAGCCTAAAGCAGCAGCTCAGCAGCCACTGCCCCGCGCGCACCGCTCACTCTCTCTCTCTCTCTCTCCCTCTCTCTCTGTCTCTGGCTCTCCTCACTCCTCACTCGTTCTGTCTCGTTTTCTCTCTCTTGCCGATCGAAAGCTGTCGAAGACCTCTCCAAAGGACGGCTGCGGAATGCGGCAGGCCTGATCACAAAGTTGAAAGCCATTCATGTCCGTGTACTTCTTCCGAGCTTCCGAGGCCGGCACGGGTCCGCAGTAGACGGCCGCCTTGGGATCCGCCTGAACACGGCCAAGGCTGCCGCGGCTCAACAAGGGCACTCTCATCAATGAGTTGATGGACTTTCTTTCTTGCCAGATGGTACGTACAAGTAAGACTTGATCGAAACCTTCTACCGGCAGTACACGGAGCAGCAGTACCGGCTTCTGTCACAGACAAGGCCCGGGCCTGGACATCCTGGGCCGTCGCAGCGGAGGGCGGCGCGTAGCTCCCCAGGTCTGGGACGGGCTCCAAGCCTTCCAGGTCCAACTCCTCCACGGAGCCTGTCCTGAAGCCAAAGAAGGGGTTTCGGGCTTGGGGAGTTTAGGGTGCAGAAAAGGGGATTTGGGAGATACCTGAGGCGCACCTCCAAGAAACTAACGACAATACCGGTTGCTGCTACCTCGGAAGGCCCCTCAGCCCCGAGCTCGAAAAGCGCCCTGTTCTGTTTATTTTTCCCTGATCATCCACCCACCCGGCCTTGGTGCCCTGCCGCAGCCCACGGCTTGTGGCCGACAGCGGAGGCTCGCGAAATGCATGATTCCAATGCCAGTAACTGTAACAGTGCTGAGTTGTCTGGGGATGCTTCGTGCTATGCTTGACTCCCGCTCCCCGTACTGGGAGCTGCGTCGACCCAGTGAGTCACGTCGTGCTCGAATCTGCGTTTCAAGCCTTACGCTCGATGGGCCTAGGGGGTGCAGATTCACAGGGAGTGCCAAGCGTGGGGTGAGAAGGCTGTTGGCAGCGAGGATGACGGTGATCACCCCTGCTTACGAAGAACCTGGAAATATACAGCCCAAGCTGCAGCTGGTGAAGACATACGACAACAAGCAGAGAGCACGAAAGACATCATCCCACGCTTCGGCCGGATACAAAAAACCAGAGAACAGTCACAGGTGGCAGCCAAGATCGTTCTGGGACTTCTTTTTCTTTACTCTGTGCTCCAGTCCGGTGACCCTCGGTGATGCTGGGGCAGGTCGAACGAAGCGCTGCTTCTATGACCGAGAGGATTCTGTCTCCTACTGGAAGCGGCAATCTGATGCTCGTGTCCAGTTGGCCACTTATGCGCCAGGGTTCCTGAAGCATCATCTGACTGCTGTGCTCCGCCTGAAAGATTTCAACCTTTCCACCTCCTGCTCCAAATCTGCCACCCTCAAGGCCAAGTTTTCACTCTCAGCAGAATGAGCTTCAACATCACATTGGAGCCTTTTCTGCCTTCCGAGCAGTTTGGGCAGAATTGCCGTGGTCGCTGGAGTCGCCGGTGCTGTGTGCTCAGATTCCGTTGCAACATGCCCGCGCAGTCGATGCCGTAGGCCACGTCCTTCGTCTTCACCTGGAAAGTGCCCGTCCACGCACCAGCGCCCGCCCTGCCCTTGGCCTTGCCCTGCTCTCAGCAAATGGTTATGTGGGTCGAGCAGCATCCGCCGGGAACCTGCAACCGCCGCACGATGTCTCGTGAAGCATTGCTTCGTTGTGCCCCAAGTTCTTCTGCATTGGCTCATAGGAGTCGGCGCCTGAGATGCCCTGTTCGAGGTAATACGTTGTGGCCGTGCCGATGTGGGCGCCGAGATCAAGCAGTACGTCGGAGGGCTTGGCGCTGCAGCCTTTTGAGCTACGCGGTAGCACAGCCGTCCAAATATCTCAAAACGGTCGGAGCTCCTGACGCTAAAGCGCACGGCGCACTGGAAGGGGTTGCCTCTGTGCTTCCAGTGATCCAGGTACTTGCCTGAGTTGCTGTTGGCCAACCCTTCGCACGAACTGCTGAGCTGATACTTGCATCCCGGCTTCACGTATCGTGCCCAAGACCGCCAGCATCTCTCGCAGTAAACCCTGATGGCCTCCGTCTGCTCCCAGACGGAGCTCGCCAAGTAAATCCAGGACTTTGAGGCCTCGTTGTACTGGACGGTCGCATCCCTCACCCAGAGCCACGCACCGGCTTCGAGACCTTCCCATGTTGCTGCACAGCCAGTCTTCACGTCGGCGGTACATCTGCAACACCGAGGATAGGAGGCCATGGCCACAGTATGGCTGGAATGCGACCTAGCACACTGCACGAGCTACGACGTCCCGAAACTGCTGGTGCTGCTTCCATCTGCAAAAAGAAAGTGCCTTCGGAGCCGCTTGCGCCTTTGCAGGGCATCTCTCGCGCTGCAGATGCTCCGGCAATTATAATTACAACCCTTGAGAGGTTGGATTCGCGCGCTCCCTTTTTGACTCTCCGCTGCCGCACTCGTAGCATTTGCCGCTTTTCGCTTTGAGGGCCCCGGCCTACTCAGAGGCTCTGCCGCGGCTTCTCGTTCTCGCGCTTCTCTCTTCGGGGAAGCACCTGAGAGCAAATGTGCATTCGATAGCGTCTAAGAAGGAATCTCAGAAACGTGCGAAAAAAAACACCTCTCTTCTGCCTTATGGGGCATGCAGCTTGCAGTCTTTTCTCCGGAAGAAGACCATGGTGAAGACCGAGCCCTATCGGGCCTATCGACTACAGAAGCCTTCAAAATATGCTAGCTTGAACTCGGTCAAATTTCCTGTCAAGCACTCCGTGGCTTCTTGTCCAAATTCATTCTGCAACAGCCGGGCATATTGGCCTCCGCTTACTGAGGCATTGTTCCCAGCTTCCAACATCACCGCAAAGCGCTTCTTGTCCCACTCAGTACAGACCGCTGCCTCGGCTTTCCCCCCGTTCCGGAGCATCTGAACGAAAAGCACCATAGCAGACTCATCCCAGTAACGGAGATCGTCGGGATCCTCACCATCTGCGGTGGGCAAAGTGGTCACCATTTTGGTCAACACGTCAGCCTTGTCGCTGTCGCATGATGATGGGATGAAGTCGGTGTCGTTGAGGTAGAACTGCATGCCATCTGTGTAGGTGGAAGTGGCCAACACTATAGAGACCCCGAAGGAAAGGACGGAGTTGGCTGCAACTGGGTCGCTGAAGATGTTCCATTCCGTATCTGGTGGATTTCCTGTGAAGGAGGTGTTTGGAGCGGAGTAAGGCCAGACTTTGTCCGTTGGGTCGCTAGATCTTGACACCACTGTACCACCAGAGTTGTAGATCCGCTTCACCTTCGACTTGAAGAGTTTCGGGGACTCCTGCAGGAAATGGGCCAAATTGGTCAATGGTCCCAAGGCGAGGATGTCCACCTGCTTGCGACTCTTCGAAAGGGTTTGCTTGAGCAGCTGGCCAGTGTACATCCAACTCGGTGGCCGGATGTTGAAGGGCAAGCCAACGAACTCACTGAGGAAGTTGCCCTTCCCCGCCAGCAGTGTGGGATCCGGCAATCCATTGGGTTCGTTGAGATTCAGCTGTGTGTCCGGATTGTAGAGGGGTGAAAATGCCACGGGAATGTCTGGCTGTCCGAAGTATTTGGTCAGGCGCATGATGCTCATCACACCTGCCCACTGCTGTGACCAACCATTACAGCCCACAGTGATGGCGAGCACTTTGATATCTGGCTGAGCCAGCAGATAGGCAATGGCCATCTGGTCGTCCGTGTCAACATCGGTGTCGACGATGACGTGCGTCAGACCATCCTCGGAGTCGCCGCTATAGCCCCGCTTCTTGAGCCGCTTGAACCACCCCCCGCCCCCACGCTCGTCCATGGAGCTCATTTCTGCCATATCGCCTTCCATCTGAGCTTCCATAGCTTCCATGTGCGCTTCCATAGCTGCCATTCGAGCTTCCATGGCATCCATGTCCTCGGCACCGTCCGTCTGAGCCACCGTATCATGGAAACGTTGCAGTAGCGTCACCGCATCGGAGTCCTGTATGTCCTTTTGCTTCGCCGCGGAGGCAAGGACAAGAAGGGCCGCAGCGCGGAGAATCGAGAACATCGACTTGTGCGGCTCACGACTTAAAACCAGTAAGGTTCCAACACTCTTGATTGAGCCCTAGTCAACAAGTCCAGGGTTGATCGGCCATCGGTGCTCATGGGATGTCGTGCCCACTGCCACCTACCCTGCCTGGCAGGCATGCCCATGCCTTACTCTCTCTGGGGCGGCCGCCACTCGCGCCACTCTGCTCTGCACCTCTGGCGCTGCTTTCACGAGCCTTGGAAAGCAAAAAGGGAGCAAGAAGCACCGCCGTTTCAAGCACTTCTCTTCCTCCCTGACGGCCCTGTGATGTCTGTCCGGGAGTCCGGCGTTGGGGATCGGATCCCTGCATGCAACACTGGGAAGGAAACAAAGCTCTCATAGCTTACGATACAGTGCCAACGACATCAAGTGATCCCGCAAAAAGAACAAGAAGGAGCGCGAGACGAAGCAAGAAGCATTGCAGGGCTCACCACCGGCTGTTGGGCCGAAGGTTCTGGCTCTGGCAGGGTGCTTACGACGAAGGATCTATGGGCTGCAACATGCCCTGTTGAGCTGATGAGTAGTAGTAGTAGTAGTAGTAGTAGTAGTAGTAGTAGTAGTAGTAGTAGTAGTAGTAGTAGTAGTAGTAGTAGTGGTAGTGGTAGTGGTAGTACTACTACTAGTAGTAGCAGTAGTAGTAGTGGTAGTAGTAGTAGTAGTAGTAGTAGTAGTAGTAGTAGTAGTAGTAGGTCGTCGTCGTCGTCGCAGTTGCGGCGGCAGTGACGGTGGCAGTGGTAACATAATCTTGCCCGAACATCAGACTCACTTTCATTCAAAGGTGTCCAAGACGCCATTGGAAGGGCTAGTTGTCTTCACGTCTGCCTGTAGCGACGAAGGGGCACAACCGACGTCGGAGCGACTCCAACAGAAACCTTCTTGATCGGAATCAGTGGCTTTGAGCGTTGCCTTAGCACCCAGTTCCTCTCTGTGCTGAGTTTTGCATTCGTGGATGTTGTTCTGGACAAGCCGCATACATATGTCCTGCTGAACGAACAGCTTTAGGAATCGCTGGTCGGTGTTGCAGTGCAGCCTCCAAGCCGAGCAATACATAGGACACAGTTGGTATCAAACAGTGGCGTTGCGTACTTCGCTTGTGTCCAGCGATAACGAAACGATGCATAGGTAGCACCCCTTTGAAGCAACATCTCGCGAAGAACGGTCCTCTTGGCTTCGCCGCCGATGCACTCGCGAAGCAATGGAACCTTCCCAGTTTCCATGTGGAGGAAGTTGGATCTCCCTGGCCTACTTGGGTCATGCTTTCATGGCTCAGCCAGCATCCAGGTGAGTGACAAAGCAGGGAACCCTCCGTCCTGGGCTCTGAAGGCCTAAACATGGGATCCTCATTCGTCACCCCGGACAGCGAGAATCCCAAGGTAGGAAAGACGATCTAAAAGTATCGCGAAGCCTTGGACAGCGAGAGCCTCCAGGCTGCCCACCAGACGAAGCCTCACAGAGTAGGAGGCTCCATCATGAGGATGAGAAAACCCGAAATCCAAAGAACAGCAATGAAAACTTCCAGTACAAGTACCAGTGCAGTAAGGTCTGTGTTGCTGTCTTCGTGTTGTCGTTCCATGGGGCACCAGTCGGGTACGCCTGGACTAATCGCGTGCTAGATTTTCGCGCGAAAAATAAAGTTTGAGGAGACTCGGTCGCCGGTTCTCGGTAGCTGGGCACGGAGAGCCTGCAACATTCCCACGTGCCAACCGTGCACGGTGTGAACTTTCCTGGTCCTACCTTTACTGGGTGTGACCAAGATGAAGCACACAGCTCACGGGTATTGGGGGTTCAAGGATGTGATGGCAGCAGTGTGGCAGCATTGCACATCAGGAAAATCCTCACCCCAAACATCGGCATTCGCGGAAGCCTAGGAAGGCCAAGAAGACAGCGTAGGCGCCGCCGATGACGCAAACCTCTGCCGCAGCGACGGATAGCTGGAGTGCAAGAAACCAGCCACGTAGGGACGTAGGGGCCCTCAGCCTACGTGTTGCCATTTGCGGCTGGCAAGGCCTCCAAGGGACGGCTTGGTACAAATTTCGTGACATTGCACCTTCACAGGAGCCTGCACAGCTCCTCCCCTAAAATCACAAAAACCCTCGGCCCCATCCCTTGCAGCCCTGAGCCCTAGACCCTAAATCCCACACTCTGCCACTCTGACTCCTAGATACGCCTAGAGAAGGCCGCTGGGCCATGCTGGGCCCCGCGCCTGACGCAGCAGACCGCCCGAGACCATGGAGCTCAAGGCTTCAAGGCTTCGGCTCGATTCCGAGGCTTCGGCTTTTGGGATTCGGTGCCTTCTTTGAAGAGGGGGAGGTGCAAAGGGCTAATACGGGGCTGATAAGTTGATCGAGGTTAGTGATTTAAGGCTTGAGGCTTCGGGGTTGCGATGGACCCGCATGCCTAAACTTTCTGAATAGCTGTCATATGGCGTCTGGCTGCACGCAGAGCCTTGCAAAACCCTAGCCGAAACCCTAAAAGCAAGAAGAGACGGCTCTCCCTTGCCCTTGCTTCCACTTTCGTGGCTCTTTCTCTTCGCAACCATCTCAGGGTTCTGAGAGTAGAGAGTCGGAGACGTCGCTCAGGGAGGTGGGGTCACGCTCTGCCCCGGGGATCGCAGCTTCAATTTCCTCAACTTGGGATGTACGGACGCGTGCGCTTCGAGTGCTGCAATTCCCAGGTAGCCACCGTGACGTGGCGTCAGACACTCACGGACCGCAGAGATTTGCCCATGATTATGCTCAGACTCAACACATGGTCTGCATCAGGGAACAACAGCCGTCTAGGAGTCTACATCTGCTATTATGCGGCCAGAGCCCACTGTGTAGCCACATCCGGCTACGTCTGGCGCCCAAACTACGGAAAACCACGGAAGCGTGTCCACCACGCCTAAAGTGTCGCAAAGGCTCCTGGCTAGAAGACTTCTTCCAAAGCAAAAGCACTTCTTCCAGTTTCATGAGAAATGGCTACTTCTTGCTAAAGCTTTCGCATCTGAAGTCTGCCTGTTCCCTCAAGGATTGCAGGTGCACCGGTCTTCCGTGGATTCATGGAACATCAGCTGAAGATGGAGGCATCAGGCCAGTAGAACTGCCTGTATCGCCTGAGGCATGCAACATGCAATTAGGCCCATGGGCTCTTTGTCAGGGTACTGGCTTGCAGCAGAATTTGCAGCTGAGGAGCCATGACCTTAAACCCTCAAGCCAGACCACCGGTCTCGGTCTAGGACTAATTCAACCCCGAGCCCAAACGTAATTCAATCGTAATTCACCTGAACCTAAACCCTCAGAAATCTCAGCAGCTGGGCGCCCCACTTGCGGTTATGTTCGGCTGGAGCTCGGGGCACTGGCAGAGGCCCACAGAGCGGCTGCTCAATAAAGCTTCAGCAAACAAGGGACGAAGGGACGGCCCAGGATAGACCCGACGTATAGCAGAATCTTAACATCTCGGACTCCGACTTTTGTAGGTATGAGTATGAGTCCTATAAGGATCAACCTGCAAGGCTTCGGAGATCGGATAAACAGTGTTGAGTGTTGGGGGAATCCCGACGACGCCGGCACACACCACAAAAAATCGCAGCATCGCAGCCCTCTTCAGCCCTCCCATAGGCCATGGCCTTGAGCCCGCGAGCAGCCCAGCTCCCGGCAGCGCGACTCCACCATGCGAGACCTCGCCGCGGCGACGACACATGTCCGATGATCCGATGGACAGGTCTGTTTTCCCCAGACGGCCCTGATCCATGCCAGAAGAAATCGAAGACCCCCAAAAAGCCATCTAGCCGGAAATGTCGCTGCGCAGCACCAGGCTCGAGACGTCACGGAGGCAGCAGCTGCAGCTGCAGCCACGGCCTGGCAAAATATGCTGGCACCTCCCCGAAGCACAAAAACTAGTCAGTGCAACTACTGCAAAGGAAACTCGGCGGTTTGCACTTCCACGGCAGGCTTGGTGACAACTGTTCTACTACGACGACTGCATCTCCATGTGCGTGAGCTTGTCTTGGACGTCATGAACCCTCTCCGCTGTCGCGTCGATCTTCGCCTGCACCTTCTGGGCCTCGGCCTTGTAAGTGTCTCCGAGCTTCGCTAGCTCAGCCTGCGCCTTCTTGTTGCGTGCCAGAACGTCGCTTTGAATGCTCCGAACTTTTCCCACGTCTGCCCAAATCTTCTGCGAAGAATACGCTCCTTCGGCTCTCAACACAGCCAGCCAAGCGAAATCCATGTTGCCCTCGTCGCACCGCCATCGCTGAAGCCAGGCATCCTCCACGCGTTCGATGAGGACCCCTGCGAGGCACTCATGATGTCGGAACCAGTAGCCGTTCTTGTAGAAGCCCCTGCTCTGGTGGGCAAAGGTGTCTGCCAGTTTTGCAGCAGCTTGGACCTGTTTCGAGTTTGCCAGCCATTGCTCTTGTGCCGGCACAGACATCTCCAGCGGCGCAACCTTGCTGCCGAGGTCGACCGCATCCCAAAGCTCCTTGGCATTCGCCTCGCGCTCCTCGTCGCTTCCGGCTGCAGGGTGGTACAACACGAACTTGTAAATTTCCAGCATCTGCTCCGCCGTCCATGAGGTGCCCGGCACAATACAGCAGGTCCAGCCGGTGTTGTGCTCCGCAACTGTGACCCGACCCGCCTGTCCGGCCACCAGAAGCTGAAGGACGAAAACGGCACGTAAGCCAACCAACATCATCTACACGGACTTGTGCCCAATCAGACTAGGACTAACTGCTCGTCTTTCTCCAAAAACGGCTCTGCGGAAGAACCTTACACGGCTTGGTGCGGCTATGGGTAGCTCCAGGGGCTTCCAGGTCGAAGGCCTCTGCAGCCCCAGCCCCGACGAATGTGCACTTTGCTTTGCAGCGAGTTCGCTTGGCGTCCACTTTCGAATCTAGTCTCTATACTTATTATTAATGAATACACACATATATATATATATATATGATACGGTATATGGCATATGATTCTACCCCACATCAGAGGCATCCCACTCGTCGCCTTGAGTACCGCCTCTGCGGTAGGCGCAGCTGAGTCAGGGCTCTCCTTGAACTTGTTGGCCCCACCTGACAGAGTGGAACGATGCTCCGATGGAGTGGTGAGCATATAGTGATTGAAAAGGCTTTCGGGGACTGACGCCACAACGGCCCACCATGTTCGTTGGCCGTCTCGGCTGCCTGCAGAATTCTTCGACAACGATGCTTCGAGGGTGCCAACAAAGCCCCCACCTCGGCGGTCTCTTCCATCTCGTCCTCTCCACCCTCCTCGTGGGCATCATGCTCATGCTCCTGCAGGAGGTTCAGCGGCCGCGTGTGTCTCCCGGCCCTCCCGCTGATCTGGGGCACTCCTCGTGGTCGTGCTCTTCATGCTCATGTGCCTCTCTTTGGGACAACCCATAAGCCATCTTAAGCTCGAGCCACACATGCCTTGCAGGCGTGTGGCCTCCTCGTGTTCGGCGTGGTCTTCGTGGTCTCCGTGATCGTGCTCATCGTACTCTGCCGGCTCGGAGTGATCTCCGTGCGCCTCAGCTAAAGGCGACTTTCACTGCGACTCTCCGACCAGTGGCCAGGGAGCCCTGCATGGTCGTGATGGCCTTGGCAACAGCGAATGAGCAGAGGGAGCACCCGTTGGCGACTAGGCTTCTAGCCATGGTCTTCCAGATGCTCCTAGGTTGCTCCGCACATGCCCCCCGACGAGTTTCAAGCCGGTGTTGCACACTCTGGAGCACACTGCTCTGAGGCCTCCACTGCATCGATCCCCTGTGCAGAGTCTGGCGTGGGAAAGGACCACGCAACCCGAGGCCCCGCCGCCCGAGCCTCCTCCCCGCCCGCATGCGCGAAGTGGGAAACCTCAACTACGAAACAGATCGGAGCATCCGAAAATCCTCCCACCAAAACTTGGCGCTTCGGTCTTGGGCACCGGCTGCCGCGGTGGCCGTGAGAACAGCCGTCTGGCAATTGCGACGACTGCTTTAGAACAGGAAGGGAGGGCCATGGAGGATCGTCTATCCTCTTGACCCTCCCAGGTCCTATAACAGGTCCTGGGTGGCTGGGAGACATGGGAGACCGGAGAGGCGGGCCTTCACGGCAGCGGCGCCCTTCCAAGCCCCGAGCCTGAGGCGTTGCCAGATCGCCGGATGCTTGGGGGAGTGGGAGTTGATCGGATCCCTGATTTATCAGCAGCAAGTAAGTCCCCCTAAAACTCTTTTGGCCCAGCACCAAATCTGCAAACAACGACTCCTACAAGCCGCAACGGAGCTAGCTCTCAAATTTCGTGATTTGGCTGCGAAGACTCATCTCATAGACACTGAGCAGTTTCGCGAGCGACGGAGACCACGACCAACACTCGGAAGCCTTGGGCCCCGTGCACTGGGGCGAAGAAGGCCGTAGTCACCATTTTGCTCCCAGGGCAAAGACCGGAGGATGCCTTTACAGACCAGAGACAGAGATGCCTTGATGATACACTGCAGTACCGCGAGTGTACTGTACTTGATCCACGCAAGTGTCTATGCAAGAGTGCATCCGGGAAAGGTAGGGCATTCTGTGCGGCTGCGAAGCCCCTCGAGCATCCACCTCAAAGTTGCGAGCTGGCAACCGGCATCACGAACGCAATGTTTCACTGCAGGTTGCCGGCCGTTCGGCGAGTCGGCGGCGTGCGCACAGCCGCCACCCCTCCGGGCACCTTTGGTTAACTTCGGCGATTCTGAGACTTGCAAAACAACCTTGAACCGCGTCTTGATGCCCGCTTGGACTCCGGCACAAGGCGCCCTGCTTTCTTGTGAGCACAGCAGGAGCCCGAGATGCAGCGGCGGTCCGCAGTGGGGAGGCGGCTCGGAGGTATGCAACCATGTCCGCTCAAGTTGCAGTCTCTCCCTATTCGTCCTAGCAAAGCAGGTGCAGAGCCGATGGCGCTGCTTTTCAAAAGCGCTTGCTGCTTAAGCAGCGGAAGTGCAACTCTCACGGAAGCTGCAGAGACACCGAGCGCTCCGTCCTGAGGTCGCGTGAATTATGCCATGTCTGTAGCTCGACAGCACTCTGATGATCCCAGGCTGTGGCCCTGCGTTGTCGAGCTCATGGAAATCGATGATGATGTCAAGCCCCTGGACGGCTGCTTTTTGAGGGTTCCTGCTTGGACTTGGGGGGCTTTGTGTCAGGGACCTCGTCTTTGGCTAGGGCTTTCAGACGATCCGCAGCTTCGGCCTCCTGGCCAAGCATCGACTCCAGAAGCGGGCAGAGAGAGGGCTTTGTGTCGCGTCGCGTCCTCTAGAGACATGTCCAGACGCAAGCGCTTGGAGGGCTTCGACGCCGGCCTGGCATCTTTTTCAGTAAAGAGGCCCAGAGAGAGAGAGCGCGAGAAAGAGGGCCCCCTCTCCCTGGCAAGAGTGGCAGCTGCACTCGTCTGAGCCTGCGACAATCGTCAAAAAGCCAGCGGCGATGCCCATGGCATGGGGGCCGTTCGGATGTACAGCCCGAGCCTGGGCCTGGCTCCAGCAGCTCCGCCTGCGCGAAGTCACTGGCACAGCGCCACAAGCCTGGCGACGACAGGCGAAGAAGCGAAGGCCGTGGCCGTGGGGGGGGGGCCGTGGCATGGCCGCCACGGCCATGGCTCTTCTGTGCCCTTCGTATAACTTTGCGAGGCACGTCCGAGCAACCCGTCTTCTGCCGCAGACCTCAACCGCGGCAAGGCCAGGGGCGAAGGCACTGCCGAAAGCCGTCTCGACGCGGCATGACGCGTCGATGCCGGTCTCCGGCCTGGAGAGCGCTCGCTGCAGCAAGTCCTCCAACTCCTTTCAAGGCGGCGCAGCAGGTCGCGCGGGAGGGGACGAGGCTACGATGGCTACGGGTACGGGCGTCTACGGGCTCCCCTCCTGCCGGAGCCGTGCGCGGATAGCTTGGAGCTGCTGCACCTCGCGAGGCGAGGTGAGGAGGCAAAGAACCTGTGGGACCGTCGAGGACCGAGGTCGCCACCAAGGCCGGCGACTCGAACCTGCAAAACCGCAACCCATGCCGACAGAGTCTCTCTCTCTCTCTCTCTCTCTCTCTCGCTCTCTCTCATCAAGAGGCCGGGACCGGAAGCTGCCTGCTTGGGCACCCGCAAGGCCAGCCCTGCCAGGTCGCAGGTCGAACAGGCCGATGCATGATGTTTCCCTTCACTTCGACTTCACTTCGCCGAGCTGCGTGGCGACGTGGCCGGTGACCGCCCGCAAGGCCGCTTCGGAGCTGAGAAACGCGAAGAACTCCGCCTGGCACGGCAAGAGCATGAGAAGCTCCGCCAGGCCCCGCAAGCAGAGCGCAAGCTTTGTGCCGGCAGGGCGTCGTAGGGCAAAGCGATGGCATTCGGGGCCTGGGGCGGACTTCCAAAGGACGGCTGCTCTGCAGGGACGCTCTCTGGCTATATGGCAAGGCGTGACACAGGAATCCAGAGACGCCTCTTGAACAGTCTCTGCTTGGGCACCCGTCACGAACAGAACGTCACCTCGCACACAACAGACTCCGAAGCCTTCCCAAGAGAGGGCATGCAACCGAGGACGCCGCTGGTGGGTGCACATATGGCATCTTCCCTTAGCCTCACTCGCAGCACCTGCGAAGAAAGCACCCTTGGCTCGCGCACCGCACGCATCTGGGAGCCCCGCTGGGCGAGCTCTGCACAGTTCCAAGGCCACCTAGTGCGAAACCATCAGTAATCAGTACTGGCCTGTGCTTTTTCGAGTATGGTGCCGATGGGACCATGCAGGACAAGACAGGAAGCCCCGGAGAAAGCCAACTCCGCGCCTTGGGCAAGCCCTGCGCGGGAGCGGCAGCGAGGCCCAGGTCGAGAAGAGCCCGGGTGGCCCGTGGCCAAGCGGCGAGGACTGCGGCCTTCGAAGTTTTTAGGATTCCAGGTTTTCGGTGTTAAGGTTTAGGATCTAGGGTTTCCGACTTTGGGGCTTTGGCGCAGCAGACTTTGGCTCCGATGGGGGACCAAACTTCAATCTTGTCATGGCTCCGCAGCATGTACCGTTGAGACAAGAAAGAACAACCCAATTCTTGCAGAAGGTAGTCCATTGATGAGGACTCCACCTTGCCTCAAACCCCGGCACTGAAGCATCGAATCTCGAAAGCGGCCACGACATGATGTTCTACGAAACATCACTTGCAAATATCTCGTCTACGCTGCTCCAGCACCCTCTCAAATCCGGGCCTCGGGAAGAGGCACGGTGGACTGCTCTGCTTCGCAATCCTCCAGGTGCTCTGCCAGGTCTGCCCGAGTCACCTGAAGCGGAACTTACAAAACGGCCGCTATCGTTCACGGAGCAGCGGAGCATGTCTATGCTTGTGCCTTTCAAACCGTCTGCAGGAAAACAGGTTGAGATGAGCATTGCCAGGTGCCACACCCAACAGCCGTGGACCACGTGCCCCTCGACGCGCCGCACCTCGCCCCGAAATTTCGGGGTTTCCGGGATGAGGTCTGGGGGAGTGAAGAAGTTAAAGTGTCGGGTTTTAAAAGGGTTCTTTTTTCTTTCCTCTCTGTTGAGGCACCGGCCGTTGCAGCACAGCGGAGCACCACTTCCGCCACTTGGGCGACCAGTCTGAGTGTATGCTTTGGAGCCGTTTATGCATGTTGGAGCATGCTTGGAATGTGTCCGACTGCATTTTTGGCTTTTTCAAGCCTTTGGAGCGTGTTTTGGTTTTTCTGCAAATTATTCCGACATGTTCGGCACTTGAAATTTCCGGAAAGAAAAATTGAAGGCATGAAAGTGTAATGATTCTGCACATATTCGGCCATCGCAGAATCAAGGATTCGTTTCGCACATATTTCGTTACCATTTAACGTAGAATGCTTCCAAAAACTGTGCAAAGGGTTGCGCCTCCCAAAATTACGACATTTTTTTTGAAGATCACCATGCCTACTTTTTGCTACCCACAAAAACATACAAAAACAACGCCTCGTTGAAGTTCGACAAAGCTGCAAAGATCCGCTGTGCCCTTACACTTTGGCTACGTGACTGACAAGAAAACCACCGGTCATGAGCTCTTCAACTTTGGGGCCTACGGTTCTTCCCAATTAAGGTGGGGCTCAAGGTTTAAGGTCAGCGTAGGGCTTAAGGTTTTTTCATTTTCTCAAATAGCCGCGTCTGGCAAAGCGCCAAAACTCCCCGGAAAATGGAATTTCTCGTTGCACAATCTATCTTACACACGCGAGCACATATTTTATCTGAATATCTGGAATATCTGGGCAAAGAGAAAAGCTCCAGCCCGCCCGTGACTTCTACTGAGAAGGCCGCGGAGGAAGTTTAGAACCACGCCTGTTTTGAAGCCTGGAACATTGGTAGAGAACTGCCAACTAGCTGACAGGACTTCCCAACGAAACACGAGGAACAACTGTTCAACTGTGCACATGAAGACATATGTGCAACGAGCAGGAAACACGTGAGCATCAACACAAGCTGCATCAAGCACACCCCAAGAAGATGCCAGATGCCACGCTGTGACTTGCGACGAGCAGAACAACATAGCTATGGCAGCAAGAAACGGCTGCACGTTCTCCGGCGAACGCCCAAAACCGTGTAAGCCATGAAACCCGCGCTAACGGGAAGTCGCCTCACCGCTTCCCAGTCGGTGCTCCCCATGGCGCGCAGGGCATGAAGGTTACGGTTGAAGATCGAACGGGGTTCAAAAGTGCCTTTGCCCACTTGCCTGCTTGCCTCGCAAGCCAACTTCCGTGAAGCTGCTCAGGCAAGCGGCACATCACCGGACATAACATTGCTGCAGACTTTATGATAACGTCTGCTCCCTTCATGAGGCCGAGAATAGACGCAACAGGACCTCCGTTTCCGAGAGCGCGCCTCAGGTCTTATAATCCAGAGTGTCAGCCAGGCGCGCGCGTAAATCTGTGGCCAAGTCTTTGACGGCCCTGGCTGAAAAGCCGGCAGAAAGCAGGGCAACACCAAGGCAAAGTCCCGGAACCTCAAAATCACCAGCAAGGCTTTGACGGTATATTATACTTATGGCCCCCCCATTTGTTTTGTCGCACGCGGTCGCCTGTGTCCTGGTTGTTTGATTGCTTCGGTTTGCTTTGTTTCAATCATTTCGGCGTCTGTGTCATCCTCCATTTTGGGTTTGACTTTCAATTTCTTGTTGGCTCCGCTTTGCCTCATGCGGGCAGGGCCTCTGCATTGGACGGACTTCGTTTTTCCCTGCGTCTGGCGGCCCTGGATTCGTTTCCTCGATTGTGGGGGCGACCTGGTATTGTTCTTTGGCCCCTGCGTGCAGCCATGGAGGATAGAATGTGAGACGAACTCCGTGTTGGGCTCCAAAGCAATTGGATGCGCCGCAAGGCTCGGTGCAAACACTGATGACAGGAGCGGCGTGGCCGGATTGAAATCCGGCGATTGCCGGAGACACAGCAGCAGCCAGCAAGAGCAAACGCGGCAGCCGCATCCCAGCTAGTGTTGGCAGGCCGGCGGTTGATGGGGTCAGCTCCGGCGTCATCAGCCTGAAGTGCCCTCGCTCTCCTAACGTTCATTTTTGAGTATCGCTGCCCTCGCCTTCATAGTATTTTTGTCTCTTGTTTAGGCATTCTTGGATCCCTTGACTCTGAATGCCCCTGCAATGACCGGCACGCAGGAAGCGCGGAGCTTTGGCCCTGCGTTGTTGCTCGAAGCTTTTCCCAGATTAACAACATCAGTTGCACTCTGGGTCCGCTTCACCATAGCCTAAGCACATAAAATGGCGTGCCACAAATTTCAGACATGTTTTCCCAAGGCCCGCGCAATGGGTGTCATTGCCACTCGCGGCGGCGGTTTGGGGATGGCGGTGTCCAGCTTCTTCTGAAACTTGGCATATTCTGCCCAAGCAAGAAATACCGCAAACTTTTCATCCTGCCAAAACCAGAGCACGTGCACCAACCCGTTTTGAAGCGAAGCCCGCCCCACATCACCGTACTTCCATGCTTCCCCTCAGATAGAGTCTCTGCTGGTCCTGCAAAAAAGCATTGCGAAGACTGCACATTGCTCAATGAATTGGAAAGGACCTTCAGCCACTCAGCGCGGGCGGCAGCTGCTGCCCGTCGCGCGTTGATGTCCGCACACAAGCACAGAGACATCGAACAAGCTCAACAGCCAAGAAATCGGCTTCACAACGGAGCGGACTGATGTTGCGCAAGAGCACCGGAGAGACTTCATGCAGCCGTGATATATAAGTTCGAAACCACGCGACAGCAGATACTAGTGCAAGCGACTGCACCTGCCTCCTAATTCCTACCAAAGCAAATCTTAATGCGCGTTGTCGGCGCTACTTTGACGTACTACAGTGTTCCCTTTTTCTCCTGGGTTGGCCATTTGTTGCGTGTTCTTTGGAGCCCTCGTAGGGTAAAGACTCGGGCCCGCCCTTCTACTTCCTACCCCTCGAGGAGCTCGATGATGATTTTGATGCTGATTCTGCCTGCAAGCAAAAGCATGTCGCGACAAAGAAACTACATGAAACATGAACACCTTTCTTCGTAGCCTTCTGCCTGCATCCGACAGCTTCATGCACTCGACCAGCCCGGTTTAGGGTTGATAGGGTTTAGGGTTCAGGGTTTAGGGTCCTTGGGTTGGGGGTTTAGGGTCTGAAGGGGGCCTTCTAAGTTATAGTCATTTAGGCGGTCTGCTCCGGAGCTTTTCGCACTTATGTCTTAACAGCTATGGCTAACGAAGCTAAAGCAATTCGAAATTACCTTACTCCGAGGATGGGATCTGAAGCCCCCGATTTGCAACAGCCTCTATGCAGGGCTGATATAGGTATGTTGAAATCTTTGGATCCTGGAGCTCAACAGCATTGCGGTAGAGCCGATGCACCAGATGTGCTCTTGTCTTTCTTTTGTCAAGCCCGCAACCTTGTTTGAAGAGGGATCCTGCTACTTGCAAATCTCAAAGACCTTGCCCTCCAATTCAATGAAGCTCGGACACTTTGTTCATCAGACCACCTTACGCCTTCTATTAGAGCACTGCGCGAGTATGGCATTGATAGTACGTATGCTCCACACCTGACGCCTTTCCGTTCATCTGTACAGAGACAGGTGCCGCGTCCTGGCTTCAAGAGTTAGCAAGTAGTGTGCAGCTATAGTACACAGTGTGCCATAACAGTGCACGGCATATTCAGACGTTTACAGTGCCACACTATATATGTGTGCAACTTTGATCAATGATCATCTGCACCCCGGCCATTTCAGTTCCACAGCGAATCCCCACAGCTCAGAAAATACCAAGGCCATGTTCGAATGCACAAACCCCAAACCCTAAAACGCGGGGCCAGGTTCAGACATCATGTTGCAACAAACAACATAGTTGGACCTCGATTCGTGCTAGAACCCTAAAAGCGTGACACTGCTTCAAGGATAGTTGATGTGTTCATATTTTGCCACCTCTTGACCGGGCCGTGTATTCGATTTCGTTTCTGTAGCGTGTTAGTATTACTTACTTTGCTGGCTTTGCCGTACAAGCATATGGATTTGGTCTGCTGTTTCAGTAACATATACACTAAAAGCGGTCAGAATGAGTCTGCATCGGAGGTGTATACACAACTCAACATTAAAACAACTCATCATTTGGAAATATAGAATCCACACTGCATTTTACGAGCAAACATCAACAGAGTTGCAACAACAACCGTAAACTGACATACCTACATATTCGCCTAACTGTAGAACATGTCGTGCTGATTATATGCTTGTACATACTGTGCATCTGCCGAGCTGTCTTCCGCAATACTGAAAGCATTGCACATGTGGAAAGTTTGATTACGTTTATACATAAAAATAATACTCGTGTATTGCAGCATGTGCTTAATCCGCCTGGAACCCGTCGGTGGATACACATCGAAGAATCATCATGTATGTGCATATACATATATATATATATATATATACTCACTCCCCCCCGTTGACAGACCGCGGGTCTAAAAAACACCGTGCACGACGATATTCTATGAAGCAAAGCCTTTACATGAGGTACATAGTATAGCACCAGACGTGCGGCACATGAGTTACGTAATAGTCTTGTGGTAGTATCGGTATCAGGGTGAGTATTATTTTTAATATTAGTACTATTGTCTGCTGTAAGTATACATATCAATATTGCCAACTATAAATTAGTGTTAGTGCTCATGTTCGTGTTAGAGTTTGCGCTAGTGCCAGTGTCAATGTCAGTAATACAGCACCACTGCTCCGGGTAGTATCAGTATCAGTCTTAATGCTGGGTTTAACAGCAGCTTATATTCGCAGAAGTGCTGGTATTAGTATCAATATTAGAACTAGTTAGTTTTGATAAGTTAGTATATTGATAGTCTCGTATATTGGCAGATTAGTATATCAATACATCGTTGTATTCGAACAGTAAAATATTTGCATACTTGTATACTAGTATATTTTACATGTTAGTACAACTGGTGCATGAATACACTACTATATTGCTGTATTAGCTTACTAGTATATTGACATACCAGTATATTCGTACGTTAGCATATTAGTATACGAGTATGTGTATTATATTACTGTTTTATCTAATCATTTATAAGTATATCAGTATGTTGGCATATTAGTATACGAACTTGTCATGTCGGTATTCTTGCATAGTGCAGTAGTCGTATATGAGTATAGTCACATATTCGTGTAGTATATTCATACAACGACGAGAAGTATATTGTTACATTGGTATATGGGTATATGCCTATGCCAAAGCATTAATACATGAATGCACTGATGTATATATCTGTTTCTTACGATAGTGGTATGTATTTTACGTACATTAGTATATGCAGGTGTCTATTAGTAATGATATTAGTTTTCATATCAATATGAATATACTATTGGTATTCGTAGGAGTATTAGTGTCAATACTATTAGAATTAGGACTATGTATACTCGTATTAGCCATAATATGAGTGTTCATGCTGGTTATACTAGTGGCATTCTTGAATATTCAGCAGATTATCAAAGTCCGTATTAGTGTTGGTGATAGCACTACTGTTAACGCACAAGAGTTTACGTATTCGTATTCGTAGGAGTATCAATAGCTATGTAAATATTGATGTTAGTATAGATTTTGTGTTAAGTATTAGCAGTAGTGTTAGCGTTAGTACTATAATATTATTGATGATCTACATTCGCAAGAATGTTTGTATTATTATTGCTCTTGATCACGTGAAATTCTAACAGTTGAATACATAAGTGAGTTAAAGGATTTGTATTTTAATATAGTGGTATGCATATTTATGTACATTAGTACATACAGGTGTGTGTTAGTATTGGTATGAATATACACTATTATCAATATGAAAATGGCTTTTGATATGCGTAGGATTACTAATAGCAGGACTAATCAATATTAGTATTTGTGTTATGCATATTCGTACTAAGCTTTTATAGACGTGTAATATTAGTAGTAATGCTGGTATTAGCTAGAGCATTCAACAAATGATCAATGTCAGTATTAGCAATGGCTATATGTAGGGGTATCAATACATATATGTATATATAGATAGACAGATAGATAGAGAGAGTCTAAATATGGGCACGAGTATTGACAGCCCTTGCCTTTGCAAGTAAGTCGTAGCGCATGGTCTGTCATCGGATGGGTCACAATCAGCCCTGCTGAGAATCAGTTCCAAGGTCCAGAGATTCCAAAATATCCAAAATTCCAAAATTTCCAAAAATTCCAAAATTAACAAAATTTCCAAAATTTTCCAAAATTTCCGAAATTTCAGAAATTGCCAAAATTTCCAAAATTTCCGAAATTTCCGAAATTTCCAAAATTTCCAAAACGGCCCGACCTAGTGGACAGGATTCTTCCAAAACATAAGGGCGGACTTTTTGGAAATTTTGGAAACTTCGCAAATTTCGGAAATTTCGGAAAATTTCTGAAATTTTGGAAATCTGGAAAGTTAGGGGAGGGAATTTTGGAAATTTTGGAATTGAGCTTTTGAAAGCTGAGTGCCCCCTCCCCCCGATCACAGACCATGCACTACGACTGAGTTGAAAGGGCATGGTCTGTCAACGGGGGGGGGGTGACCATATATATATATATATACACCCAACGCGACAAGCTTTTCTACGTACTTCTATCTTGGGGTGATACCGGCAATATGGCGCATATGTACATAATATGAGAGCACACATTCAAGAACAGAAAATATACAAGTACCTTTGGACATATGTGTGAATATGCACGCATGGATGGATCGATGGATGGATGGATGCTTGTTTGCTTGCTTGCATGCATATGTGTGTGGTGTATGTGCATGTCTGTATGGATGGATGGATGTTTATGTGTGCATGCGTACATGTGTATATGCATGTGCATATGTGTACATGTACATGTATACACCACATAGACTCAATGTGTGCGGATATATAGATATATATATATATATACACACACACATACCTCCTATATACCTGTCTTCTGTCTATATACGGCCGGCTTGATCGACTCCAAAGTGCCAAGGCGGGCCCGGGTGTCGGACGCATCCGGTGAGGATCCAAGACAGCCTTCGCTTGCGGGGGCTCGGAATACTAACAACGGCAGTGCCAGTCCAGTATCAGTAAGAATCATCATCATCATCATCTTCATGGTGATAACCCTCTGCAGAAGCTAGGCATCATGGTGCATTCACGGCCAGAGTACTGATGCGGAGAGACACAGACATTCAAATGAAACATCTGAACAACCTCATCCTGCTCGTCATCCTCCTCATCATCACTTGCACTTGCCAACGCGCTCGATGCTTCTGCCGAGGCGCTGCATCGCTGCAGGAGGGTCGCCACATTACGGACCTCTCGCAACAGCTGGGACTGAATACTTGCACTGCCCCAGCCGGCCCAGCAGTCCCAGCTCTCAGCGACGTGCCACAGAGGCCGCACAAAGCGTCCGGCTACTGGCGAGTCAAAGACTTCATCGGCTATAGCTGGCATCTGAACCGAGCTCTTTCTCCTGCCATCGCCATGGCTGTCGCCGGGGTGGTCCGCATAGTTCCGCACCCAAGTGACGGCCACGATGCGCAGGCGAAAGTTGAGCCTCACAAGCCGCAGCACACCGCGCTTGTCAGGGCCCGTCAAGCTGAAGTTCTGGGCAGGCGACCCCTGCATCAGCTGGAGGAGCATTTGCCGCAGGAACTGCAGCAGTGGCGCCGCGCGCTCCTTGCAGGCGACTAATTAGCACCCGGGGTCGACCGCACTCGATCACAACACCTCGGCAGTCCTCCTGCTGCTGCCACTCCTCCGCTGCGGCGGTGCCTGGCTCCAGGTCACAAAAACAACTGCTCCAAAGTCTCCGGTCCCGGCTCGCCTGCGACCTCCGCTAAGACGCTGAGGTCCAAGCCCGTGTCCTGGATCAGTTCGGGATGCAGTGGTCCGCCCTCCCGGTCCTGGCTGGGGGCCTCGGCACGACCCTCCAAGAGCTCCGAGCAGGTCAGGAAGCCTTTTCCGATCTCCTGCTCTTGCACAAGAACGCTCTTGCTGAGCCCCAAAAACCCCAGCGAGGTAATCCCACAAAACCTCAATCACTAAACCCTAGGCCCTAAACGACGCCAAGCCCTAAAACTTACATACCTGAGCACCAATTACACTAAACCTTAGACCTTGCAGAACCTATAGGCACTTCATCACACGAAACCCTAAACCCTATACCGTCCCCAATCCCTAAACCCTAAATGTCAAACCAAGCTCGATCACAAGTCGATCACCCGCCGGAGGCTCATGGTTCGGAGCTGAAAAGTCGCGCTGCCGCCGGCTTTCACCACGAGGCCGTAAAGGGGGGAGGGCTCTTAGTGGAGTTTGGTTGGTTGTGTGGCTGCCCTGTTGGGTCTTGGTTTGTTATTGGTAGCAGAACTAGGTTCGCGGTGCATTGGGTTCTTTGTGGTGGCGTCTTAGGACCTCTCCCTGCTAGTTCCTCGTTTGAGCCACGGACGGCCATGCTCATCCTAGAGAGGAGCTCTCGACCGGAACTCGGTCATATCTCCGACAGGTTAATGGCTTCGGTGGTTGCCCGTGATGTCATCACAGCGGGCGGGTAAAACGACCTTCCGGATACAGAAGCTCGCTTGACGCCAGATATTCCACCACAAACTCTACTATGAGCTGGCGCCATCTAGCATGGACGATCGGCCACTGCGCAAGAAGACGCCCTAAACCCTAAACTGCCGAGAGTGCCGCTGACCAATTAATTTACATGGGCGCTCGAGGCTCCAAGAAAGCCCCCTTTCATAGGGGTTTGCATGGGGGGTGAAGCCTAAACCCCATAATTGAGAATAGTTGGGGTGATTGGGGCGGGACTACATGCTGGCCCAAGCGCGCGATGACTGGGTGCGCCCCCATTCTTAGAAGTGCACGCACCGCGCGTGCACACTAGACGCTAAACACTAAACCCCAAACCCGAAACACTGAACCCCAAACCCGAAACACGGAACCCCAAACCCGAAACCCTAAACCCCAAACCGTAAGCCCTATAAACCCCCCATCATAGACCCTGTCCAAAGCTCCTCTGCAAAGGCGGCGGCTGTTCGCCTGGCATCGGCCCAGCACCTGTGGGGCGGCTCTGCGGCTTCTGGCGTAGAGCGCAAGGAGAGCCATCTCTCTGTTAATCCAAGATACTCCTCTGCAATGCTATGCATCTATGCTCTACATATCATGTGTCTATAGATGTCTATAGTGTACCAGGGTATCTACATTAACTTTGGTCCAGTGTTGGGCTGCGGGGCTTCTCCAAATCGTGGCGTCAGGGTCGATTCATCGCCGGATCGGAGAGGGAAGAGTGAAAAGGGCCACTTCTCGATGTGTGTGTGTGTGTGTTGCCATGTGTGTTTATACATATATGCATATGCATATACATATATGTCGATTATGTACCTGTATATGTCCTTGCACATGCAGGTGTATGTGCAAATGCGTATGCACATGCATATGTACCCCTACCTGTCTATATGCCTAAAATTTAAACTTGTCTAAACATACATTCATGTTTACTAAATGTTCTGTATGTGTTATGCATTAGTAGGTTTACTTACTTATCTAATTCTTGTTTCTAGAGCACCAAGCATGTCCTGTTGATGAAACCCATGGACCGAGGCCGCCTGGACGCGTCAAAGGCCGAAAGGTCCACGGAGGCAACCCGTGAGCCTGGGCCAGAATGAAAAGAACGGAAAGAATAAGAATAATGGTAATCATCTGTAATCATAATACTGAATGAAAAATAATTGAGAGAATAGGAATATTGGTCATAGTCATAATAGTGGCATTAATCTTGGATGATAATGCTGGCAACAGCGATGACACAGTTAATGGTGATCATAAGAACAAGCGTACTAACCACCACCACTACTACTACTACTGCTACTACTACTACTACTACTACTACCACTACTACTACTACTACTACTACGACTACTGCTGCTACTGCTACTGCTACTGCTACTATTACTATGTACTACTACTGCTACTGCTACTGCCACGGCTACTGCTACTGCTGCTACTGCTACCTGTACTTTAGTTTCATATAGTAAATGATGTCATTTCGCTGGAGTGTTGGCAACGCCCGAAACAAGGCTATTTGTCGTGATGGCAAGATCCCGTAAGCTTGTGCTTTCGATGTGTGCCAGACTATGCACTCTGTGCACAAAGTGAAACTCAACTAAACGCTAGCTCAGAAAAATGCAATCACGGCTAGAGTCAGAGCTGAGATTGGGGCCCAAGAAACTGAAACGAAAGTAAGACACGATTCGGCACTTTTCAGCTCAGACTACAAGAAATCATGGTTGGCGCTGAGACAGAGGCCTCAAGAAATTGAAACGAACGTAAAACACAATTGAAAGCTGTTCGGCGCATAATTAAAGCAATGACAGGGTCAGGTAGAGGCCCCACAAGTTACAATGAAAGTGAGCTGAATCAAACGCTGTTCGGCACAGGAAAGAAGAAATCATGGCTAGAGAGCTGACAGAGAGAGATCCCAAGAACTTGAAACGAAAGTAAGATGGAACCAAATGTTTTTTCGGTTCAGAAACTGGAAACATGACTAGAGTCAAGATAAAGGCCCCAAGAAATTGAGACGAAAGTATGACGCCATTAACCGTGCTTCGGATCAAAAAGGAAGAAATCATGATGTAGAGCTGAGATAGAGGCCCCAAGAAATTGAGAAGAGAGTGCGACGCAATAGATGCTTTGCGGCTAAGAAAAGGACAAACCATGGTTAGAGCTGAGATGGTGTACGACGCAATTAAACGCTTTTCGCCTCACAACCGACGACATCGTGGTAAGAGCCCCAAGAAATTGAAAGTAAAGTGAGACGCATCTAAACGCTTTTTTGGCTGACAAACGAAGACATCGTGGTTAGAGATGAGATGAAGGGCCACAAGAAATGGAAAGATAAAGGCCCCCAGAAATTGAACCGAAAGCAAGACGCAATGAAACGCTTCTCGGCTCACAAACGAAGACATCATGTTTCGATCTGAGATAAAGGCCCCAACAAATTGAAACGAAAGTAGTAGTTCCTTGCCAGGCATGCAATCATCGCTGCTCTGCCTCGCTGCTGGATTTTGCAGGATCGCCACAACCCCAAACTCAAAGGCACGAAAGCCTTCAAGGGTCTGAGTCTCCTCTGGTGGCTGAGGGGCCGGCAATAGAAGAGGATTTCTCCGCCTCCTGAACCGCCCAGTGCATCGTCCTCGGCGATCAGGGAAGGCAACTCCTGTTATTTCTACACTCCATTGGAGCCATGAGTGAAAACGTAGGGAATGCAGCGCCCCTGCTGAGGTTTGCGGGCTGAAAACAACATTGCCGCAGTGTCAGCACTTGGGCCACATCAAGGAAACAGAAGAAACTCCGAAAGAGACACGGATGCTACAGTGGGAGCAAAGTCTGGATCTGGCTGTTCGGAGGCAGCCATTCCCTCACTCCGTTCTATGACCATGACATTCCCGCCCCGCACTAGGCAGAATATGCTCCGACTCCATGGCTGTCAGCCTCATCGCATCCAAAAACCAACTACCCTACGCTCTAAACCTGGAACCTAAAAGGCCTAAACACTCCTCAAGCCCAAGCTTTAAGCTCCCCGGCCAGGAAGTGGAGCTTGCGCAGCGTTTGCTTCAGAGCCGCGGGGGAGAGCTGTCCTCCGGGGAAGAGCACGGCGCCTCGTAGCCAAGAACCGCTGGCAGACGATGATTCGCGGACAGGAAGAACGATATACCGAGTGAGCACTACAAACTGCGAGACTGGCAGACACATTGCTGCCATGTATAATATCCGTATATATATATATATATATATATATATATATATATTATTTATATTTATATGTATATATATATATATATATATATATACCTCTGTGTATTTACATATACATATGCATTGTTCCATACATATCATATACATAATATATAATAGGTCACATTCAGCAAACGCTGCATGATGCATGGGCCCGGCCCGTCGGGTGGGCTCTTCAAGCCAAGGTGCCGGCAGTTGATGAAATAAGCCGTGCGGGTCGTCTCCTGGCCATGAAGGGCTCGGGGTTCGTCGAGGCGGTATGTAGGGTTGAGGGCTTCAGGTTTAGGACTTAGGAGCTCAGGGCGCGTGCATGGGTTATAAATGGGCTTAGGGAGTTACAGCACTAGTTTGAGGAGGCCTCCACTATGCGGCTATGCGCACCAGGTGTTTCTCTAAAGGCAGTGCAGTGGAGCCCTCCCATCTGATCTGCAAGATTGTAGACATCAGTTCCAGAAGCTTAGAAAGACAAGTATTCGGGGTGTTCGATGGAATGGACATGTGCAAAGGCTGCATGACCCTATGTAAGATAGAGATCCATCCTGAAAGCTTCGCACGTTGGCGAGCATTGGTGACAAAACAGCACTGCCATTCAGTCACTTAATTCGATGAGGTTTTGGGAGCAACAACGTGGCCACCCAGCTGGCGCATGTGACGTCACCAGAGAGCTTGAGATTCTCGAAGCCCGCCTGGAGAAGCTTCAAGGAAGCGGAGAGCACCTCGTGCATATCGGCCCAGAAGCCCTGGCCGCCAAAAGTGCCAAGAAGGGATCTCAAACCATCTTTTTGTAAAATACCCTGCGCTGGACCACCCCCCTCCCTCCAAAAAAACCCTTGCAGCCTAAAGTGTGGAAAGGGGGGGGGTTGCATTTAAACAGGGCACCAGCCCCACCACGCCCCATTAAAACCCTATGCTGAACTCCGCCTCCTCGGCCTCAGACTCCAGGGCCCTGGGCTCGGCTGCCCGGACCTCAGCGATGCGACGCGCGAAAACGCGCTGCCGCTGCCGCTGTGGGGCGGTCGGCGGTGGAGGGGAGACCTGGTTGTGATGTGGTGTCGGTGCTTGTGACGTTGCTGCGGCTGCGGCTGCCGCTGAGGAGGAGGAGGAGGAGGAGGAGGGCGATGAAGCTGTTTGATTCTGATGCTGACGAGCAAAGGATGCTGATGATGCCGATGACTGATGACGGTGAAGATGGCGTCACCATCATCAGAGATCCTGTGCTGGTCATGCTCGAACGGTCTCTCGCGGCCATCAAGTAATGAAGGAGCCGGGCACAGAAGCTGAGGCCCGAGCCGTGGCCAAGTCGCCACGCAAGAAGAGAAGGAGCCGGTCCTGGAAATCGGGGTCTTTTGGCGCCTCCCGGTCCGTGGCACCAACTGAGACAGCTCGGTCCAGGTGGTCTCCACCCAGCTCCGTAAACTGCAAGGTCACGAAGCGCACCTTCTCCCAAGCTATAGGCAGCAGCATGGCTGAGCATCTCGAGCTGCCGAAGGTTGAATCCTCCCACCTGCGGCTCGAACTTCATGAACTCAGGGGCCTGCTGAAGGAAGGCTCTGAGCTCCGAGGGTGGATCATACACTACTCGCTACCTGTCTCGTGCCTCTCTGCTCTAGTCTTGGTCTTCTCCTCTCCCGCAGTGCCCTTTTTTTTATTCGTTGGATTGAATAGACTAATTATAGTCACTAGCCACTAGGCCTGAAACCCATAGCCCTCTTGGTCCCCATCAAAAGAGTAACTAACCTACCTACAAACAACAGTGATTAAAGACTCAGTCTCGCAAGTGACGTCCATGGTTGCAGTACCCCTCCACGTGACACCCCATGTCGGCAGCGCTAGGAGTAGTTGACAATCTGTCACCATGCCTCTCTTGCACAAGTGGCGTTCCAGGGTGCTTGCTTGCGTTGTGGACTGGTGCCTGAACTAATCACTCAGTCGCAAAACTGGCAACGGAACCAAACACACCGTACAGCCGCGCAGTTCACAGCGACTCAAACCTTTCCGGAAGGGAGAGCTGAAACCTTGCCGGTGCCATGAGATAAATTTTACAGGGTGACCGTCATCTGATCGGGCCCGTGCCCACTGCTCAATGACGACATTCCCACGCTTTCAACCCGGCGTCGATGGTGGGAAGGAGCGGCAAACGCACGAGTCGAAGGAAGACGTAACGTCTCAAAGCTCAGGGCGCCTCCTCCATGCGGCTGGGGTCCCACAAGCCAAACCTGCTCAACATGCTCCGCGCGACACGCAGGACCCCTGTATTTCCTCCCCGTGCTTCCTGGGACCTTGACTCTTGGGCGAAGAAAGCGAAGTTCTCCACACTTAGCCTGTCGAGCCGGAGGCACGGCAGACTAAAGATAGCTTGATTGGATCTGGGCCGTCGGCATTACGAGACCTCGCGCAATGTCGGTGTCCATGAAAGGCAGCTCGTCCCTGGCAGCAAACAACAGGACCGGTCGGGCTCTCCGTCACAGGGCCCGCGCCTCACAAGGCTCAGCTGGTTGATGTCGTCCTGTCCCACAGCGTGGCATCCCGCTTCACTCGGATCCGCTCTCCCTCCACACACCCTGCTCTGGCCCTGGCCTGTCCCTGTAGCCAGCTCTCGGGCACCATGCGAGTGTTCAGGAAGGAGCCTCGCAGGGGAGCAACGCGGGCCCTTAGGCTCGAAAGGCCAAAGGCTCGGGGAGGGACTGGAGAGGATCGGAAGCAGCGAAGACCTCAGCCCCAAAACCCACGAATGACATGTATCTTCTGTATCTTGCTATCTCACGGCATGTCGAGAAGATTGAGCTCAAGCTTTGCCCACCGTCTCACTGCTTTTTGGAAAAGCCTCTGACCCTTCGAGCGCAGGCATCCGCAGAATGAGTGCGAACGGTCTGGGGCTCAACGAAAGCTTGCACGAACCACAAAGCAGTTCAAAGAAAGATGTTTTTAATTCATGAAAGGCTTAAGCTTCTGCAAGAAGGGCTGTGATGACCCGCGAGGCCCGCACAGCTGCATGAAGCCAGCGTCGCCTCGGCCATCGGAAGGCGAAGGCGCGAAGGCCGTGATGGCTCGCGTCGCTCGCGTCGCGTCTCGCGTCGCGTCTCGCGGGCTTTGCTTCAGGCAAGCCGCCGTTGCGGCAGAAGCTGTGCAACATCGTGGATTTCCCGGCATTCCTGGCCGAACGCGGAGCCCAGAGACACAAGTCCCAACGTGTCTTGAATGTCTGGGGGCCCTCTTTGCTTGGCAACAAACGTGTCTAATTGGCTGGTCCCCCAACAGAACAAAGCTCCGGACCTGTGGCGGTTCAAGACGAGCCCGGCGTTCAGAAGTAGGGTTCAGGCCATGACGGGCATGCAGTTCTCTCAGGCCCACGCGGCACAGCCAGCGCCAAGCCTCAGAGCAGCTGCCCGGAAGGAGATCGCAACATCCGAAGCGGATGTCTCAGGCTCGCGGCTCAGGCTGCGCAACCGCCGTCTCCAAGTCGATCTCTGGGACCTGCCGCCGGCCACGGGCCCAGAGGTTGCAGTCTCCCTTCGCTCTCTGTCATGCCTCCTCGTCATACAAGTCGGGGTGCTTGTATGCCTTGTGATACTCACGATTGAGTCTCACAATGTCACAACCATTTCCAGAGGCCCGCACACACCGTTGTTCCAAGCCGAAGCGACCCCGCACGATGGGTGGAACCTACGACGACATCTAACTCTCCGGAGCTTAATCGCCTTTCGGACTGCTTGGAGCCCGGCTCCGTCGACGACTTCCATCCATTCTGTGCTGGGAAGAACAACTCAGGGGACTTTGCTTGTTTCAACGTGCTGTCGGTCGTGCGTCTAGGGCTGCTCTCGCAACTGCGACGACTGTGGCTATCGTAACCATGTAATTAGTCAGTCCTGGCTGATGCTGGCTGGTTCTACTGCGATTCTTCTCGGAGGTGTGAGTTGATTACGGCTTGTCAAGTGACGACTTTCTGATTCTGACATCACGCAGCTTTGAAGACATCGTCTTTCGTTGAAGACAACGAAAACGCATTTTGTCGGCTTCTGAAAGTCGTGTCTGAGAGCCGATGGCTTTTCCAGAATTCCAGTGGCCTCCATCAACATGAGCTGCACTCACATGCACCAGAAAAGGACCATCTTTCGAGCAGCCGCTTGAGTTCGCGTCCGCATTGCAGCACTTCCATGCACGGGCAGTGTAGGTCACTCGATCGCCCAAGCTGCGCCCATTTTGGTGGCAGCTCAAAGCTTAAATCACGAACGGCGTCTCCGGAGTGGCCGCGCTACTTTGATCTATAGTCTACTTTGATCTATAGTCAGCTTCTTCGAGACAGTCACTTCTTGAAAGTCTTGCCGAGCTTCTGCGAATGTTGGCACTATCCCGGTTTGGCGGGTGTAGCCGCCTAGACTTCGAGCACCTCACTTTGGAAGCGCAGTAGCACGCCTTCCACGTCGTCACGACGCTGCTGCACCTGATGCAGACTGCGAGGGTGCATGCAACTTCGCGCAATCGGAAGATGCCCACCACGTGCAGGCTACGCTGGGCCGCGAAGCTCTTGCGACTCTTGCGCTTGTAGAAGTCGGGAACAGTCTCGTCATGTCTGCACGGAACTTCCTCTTCCGCTGCCAACATTTCGGCCGACATTGACACGCCGGTCTTCACCGATGTCAGCGAGAAGAGCACCGATACCAGCAAGAAACACATGTCCAATGAACCGTCGAGCGGCACAGTCACCAAGCCAAAGATCCCCACAAGCAAGCTCAAGTACGCTTCGCTGGCAGCTTTGCAAGGAGGCTGAGAGAAGCTGCTGATCCAACGCATGCTGATCTGCATGCCAACTCCCACGAAGATGATTGTGGCGGAGAAGAAATGTCCGGCACGGAAGAAGATCATGCTCTGGTATCAAACCAGCTGCCAATGGTGGTTACTAAGCCCTCTTGGTAAGCGACTCAAGTGTCCGGACGCAGTGGAAATCGATCGCTTCGGCAAGCTCCGCAGATTCATATCGACTTCCACGGTCCTCGATTGAAGGCAACAGTGAAACGAATGTCGGCACTATCCCGGTTCGGCGGGTGTGGCCTTCGAGCACCTCACTTTGGAAGCGCCCACTTTGGAGGCAGCTGCTTGTTCAGGGTCCGCCCGGCCCTCAGGCGGCGGGCTGCATGAAGCGCGTGGAGTGCACAGCACAGGGCTGAGCTAGGCACCTCCCCCGACGGCCCAGAGGCGTGCTGGAGACACCGGCGACTGGCCGACGGGACCTCTCCAAGGGCAAATTATGTGCTATTAATTAACATGCATGGTAGGACTACTGTATGGAAAAAGAAGAACAACAAAAGGAACGATATCCCGACGCATTTCACGCAATCAGAGTCTACTTGCCTATCAGCCGAGCTTGCTCGAAGAGCTTGGCATGCGGCACCATCTTCTTCCACACCTGCACATGCCGAGAGCTACACCGCCAAACATCCGATATTACACCGACCGTAATATAAAGTTCTCACAGTATACAACATACACACAGACACACACATATATGTCCATATGTGTATATCTAGACTGCGGGCACATATCTATATGGTAGTGCGCTGATGCTGGGGATTGGCCTTGCTCCAGTTGGGCAAGGTGATCTGGAGCCTCCGCGGTACCTGCCAGCAAACCGCTCATACCGGCTATACCCTGGCAGGGCCTCCACGGAGCACGCGGCCCGGTTGTCCTAGGGGATCGCCGGCTTCAGGCTGCCAGGCCTCACAAAGGCTTTTGCCGCGGCATCCCCAAGTCCAAGATGGTAAATCAACCTGGGACCTGCCTCCCTATACTTCCCTGATCGCTCCTCGTCCCACGGCACCACCGCTATGTCTGCCGGCACGCGAAGGACGGCCTGGCGCGCGTGCGACGTGCGGCATCATGGCGCTTTGTTGGTGGCAGGGGGTCGCATCCGGCTGCTGAAACCGTGGAAAAGCCCCTGCGCCCGCCTCCTCCAGTCCCGGAGCCACCTCCGAGTGCGGGGAAGCTCACTCACTGGCGGAGCTCTTGCTGCTAGCGAGTACCTTCTTTGCAGTCTGCGTTGTGTGTGTTTTGTAAGTGTGGCCACCTATGGCCATGCATGGCCTTGCGTGTCGGTGTGCCCCTTGTGCCAGGACTCCCTGAGTCATCTACTTCAATAAATTTGGGTGGTTGGTGTGCGCACGAGTTCAGAGGCCACAATCAAGTTTCAACCATCCCGCGTCAGCTCCTTGACACAGCATTTCAAGCGCAACTCAGTGCGCTTGTGCGCACCTTGAACCTTCGACATACTATCAGTGATGCGTGCGCTGGACAGCGAACCTGTGGCAAACCTCTCTGGCCCCTTGAACAAGACAGTGCTTGGCATGTGTAGTGTGCCCCGACAGAAGTAGAGGTGTCAACATCCGAGAAGCCCTGCGCAGCATGAACGCACAATGACTACGTCGCTGCAGCTGCTTTTCCGGCCTTTCCAAAAGAGTTCCAGGCTGCGTGGGCTCAGGCTTAGGGTAGCACTCTCGCCTCGGGGGTGAAGCCAGGAGGGTAGGCTGCCACCGCCACCTGAGCATCTGATTGAGGAGAACTGCAGAGGCTTGAGCGCCTGTACCATGCCTTTGGAAAGAATGCTGTTTTGATACGGGTCTTGCATATTCGTGCGAGTGACCCTTCAATATCCAGGATGATGTGAGAGCATCGCTGGAAGCTTCAGTTTGGGAGTTCTTTGGAGTTGGTGGGAGTTGCGGATTCCGGCTAGGAGGCACAGGTATCAAACGTGCTGGTACAACGAGGTCGCATGTCTGCGCAGCTCGCAGTGGAGTCCAAAGCGCGTTCACCTTGAATCTGCTGAGGCCGCTCCCCTCTAGCCCTGACGCCACCCCACCACACCCTTGGCCCAGCGCATCTCAGGTCCGGGTCTGGTATTTCATGGGCTGTTGGTGTCTCTGTGCTCAATGGTGGTCTTCCCAAAATACCCTGAATTCTCGGTAGGACCCTTCCATACTCCAAGTCCCAGAGAGCACTTGATATTTCTGGTCTGTCATACAGCCTGCGGGGCATCTACAATCTGTCAAGCATCGTTAATGCGGTTGGCTGGCATCTATTTGCACCCTGGTCGGGGAGACGGAAGCTCCAAATTGGGCGGATGCACGTGTGGAGCAGAAGCATGACAAACCCAGCTTTTCATATGCCGGCGCTGGGGTGATGATCAGAGATGCTCTATATAGCTGCACAGAGGGCATGGAGCCACCCAAAATACCTCAAAAAATCAAAACCGAGTCACCGTCCCCCGGTCCGGACACCCTCGACCGTACCCTGCCCAGAACCAGACTTTTTTGATGGGGTTTTGCCTCCAAAACGCCTCCCAACCCCGATAGGCCAGCAAAGCTGCATCTTGGACGACGCCCCAGGGAAAACTGTCGTATTTTTGCCGGGTGGATGCGAAGGCCCATGGAGTGCATAGAAGGCCCCGAGTACCATATGTACCGTGACATGAGCTACGTGAAAAACTCTGAGAAACCCCACCTCTGGTGTCCAGCCTGGCAGCATCCCGACGGAGTCCTCGCGTGTCACAGCTGCCGGCAGGTCCAAGAAGTGCGACACAGCACGCTCCTGAGCCTGCGGTGCATCGGCCAGGCCCTGCGCAGCGTGAGCGCACGATGACTACACGTCGCTAAAGCCGTGTTTCCCACAAGCCTTTCCCAAAGAGTTCCAGCACTCTCGCCTCCGCGCTGCCAGGAAGGCCGGGTGCCACCTGAGCATCAGCGTGACGAGATCTGCATGTACCATGCCTTTGGAAAGAATGCTGTTTTGATACGGGTCCTGCAAGTCGCGCAAGCGACCCTTGAATATCCAGGATGATGTGAGAGCATCGTTGGAAGCTTCAGTTTGGGAACTCTTTGGAATTGGTGAGAATTGCATTTTTCAATCGGCTACTGTCTAGGAGGCCCAGGTATCACACGTGCCCTTGACCCCTTGAACTTCAAGACAGAGCTTGGCGTGTGGAGCATGTCCCGACTGAAGTGTCAACATCCCCACTCCCCTCTCGCCTCCGGGGTAAAGCCGGGGGGGTAGGCTGCCACCGCCTCCTGAGCATCGGCCTGAGGATGCAGAGGCTTGAGTGCCTGTACCATGCCTTCGGAAAGAATGCTGTTTAGATACAGTATGGTACGCCCTGGCAGCGCGTGTTTTCGAGGTTGCAGGTTTCAGTCGTTTTCGGGATGTTGACTTTGTTCGTCTCTATTGCATGCTTCTAGGTACGCCTTTCGTACCTAGAAGCTGACAATGTTATCCTCTACTGTATGCCTGTAGGTATGTCTTTCGTATGAGCGTTTGTAGCTTGTGAGCTATGTGTTTGCTGCTGTACGCAATTATAATATGATACTCCACGTACGGATATTCAGGCCGAGCTAGAAGGACCCCCGGAGAGGGGCGCCAAAAAAAAAAATCTATCTATCTACTTAATGTTTTTTTTCTTTTTTTGCGCCCCCCCCCCATGCAACCCCTGTCATTCCCTGCAAATTCTTGTATCCGAGCTGTTCTATCCTCACATATACCCCACATAATGGTGTTTCACGTCGCGACCTCAACTTCAGCGTTGGCGGTGCTTGGCTTTTTTTATCCGTATATGTTCACGTCCCTACATACGAAACTGCAGTTACCATAAGCTTACACATATTTGCCGCAGTTTTTTCCTATTATCGATCTTGTTCCTATCTCACGCGCGCGCTATGGTTCGTACGAAACGCTCTGGATGTCAGAAGTGGGGGGTGGATCGCTGCACCTGCCCGCCGAAGCCGAAGTCCAGCGAGTCTCCGAAGCCGCAGCCACCGCAGAGGCAGCCGACATCTTCCCATAACCGAACGCGGCCTACTTCATCAAAGGCATCCCGTCAGTCTACTAAACCGTCGACTCCACAGAAGAGTTCCACAGCTACGGAGCTCGAGTTGGAGCGCACTCGTGTAGAACGGTTGCGACTGGAGAGTGAGAAGGCCGCAAGAAAGAGAGCACGTAAAGCCGAGAGAGAGGAAATCGCCGCGCGTGCCGCAAAGACCAAGTATTGGAGCGGGGGGCGTTGGTCGTCTAAAGGACGCAACGAATCCTGGTCTAATACTTTTTGGTCTCAGCACGGTTGGTTCTCCAAAGGAGAAGAGCCAAACTGGAAGCGCAACCGCTGCAGCGCAGTAGCCTTTCCCGAGTCTACTTTTCCGCCTCCTGGTCTCATGTGGGATGAGGCCGAGTTGAGTGCATATAATGATGGATGCAACTAGTTACGCTTGCGAACAATTGGTGGAAAAATCTTTCGGTCAGTATGCACTGTGACGGCAATCTAGGCGTATGACGACGTGTACATTACGGTTATATGCTCTAGTTTATAAAGCCGAGGAGAGACAGAAGAAGAACCCAGATACATAAGAGAAGACAACTCACGGAACAAGAGAGGAACAAAGGAAACAAGCAGGATAAAGTCAAGAGGCTGGAACAAAGAGACCAAAGTGAGCAAAGTAAGACGAAGGAGGACGACGAGGACAGGGGACAAAGAGGGACAAAGGGGGACAGAGGGGGACAGAGGAGGACAAAGGGGACAAAGGGGGACAAAGGGGGACAAAGGGGACAAGGGGGACAAGGGGGACAGACAGGAAACAAGAGAATGGGAACTGAGGGAACAATAAAGACAAGGTACAGGGCTCACGATGAGGAAGAAGATGTACAGTAGCAATAGGAAGGCTGTAATACGGCATTGTATATATGCACGTCTTTTTCTCGCAGGAAGGTGATTCTTCAAGAAGGATGCCCTCCTGCATCATGGCTTTCTGGCTACTGGAAGGTCATCCATCTTCTTCCTGATCATCATTCCATTTGTCTTCGACTCAGTTCAGTCTCTTGCCGCATACCAACGACCTGGCATGTCCGTGTAGTATCGTAGCCTATGCATGGACATTCCATCCTTGCTGTCTTTTTATGCCTCAGCATTTCTCGAGCTTTCAAGCTACAACTTCCTCCGTGCGTCCCTTGTCGTCAGTGCTGACATGTCCAATTCTTTGGAGAGTCAGTTGGAACATCTCATGCAGGAGGAATATCCTCACATGGCGGGGTCTTCTCCTTCACCTCGTCCGGCGAAACGTCTCAGAGGTGCAAATTTGTTGGGGTCTCAGACGCGGATATCCCATGCAATGCTACGCAGTTCCGAGCATATCTATGTGTAATTGTTACTTTGTGTCCTGATGAGGTTTCGCGCCTTCTCTGATCTGGAGATCGACCCTCCTGCCCCACATATTCTGGCGCCGGCACCCGTCAACCCGAACGCGATCACAATGCCAGCCATGTACGAGCACTACATGCAGTGGGGTCGTAACTCCTTTCCAGACTTCACTCCGGAGACCCGCAAACTCATCTCCATTGCCAACTACGTCTGTGACATGGATGCCGCAAACTATTGCATGTCTAGCAAACAGAAGCTTATGTTGGCTATGTTGATTGATGGCCATAACTGGAGGGCTCATTGTCGACAAGCTTTTCGGTACGACGACGGTGCTTGGGTTCGCTCTCAGATGCCAAATTCAAAACCACCTCTTCAGCCTTCTGTAGAGTTCCCCAGTGCCCTCCTGTCTGCCAGTTTCCGGGATCGCCCTTCACGGGCCCAAAGGGCTGTAACAAAAATTCTCCCTTTGCAAAGCCACTCCGAATCCCTGAGCACTTTCACAGAACCAACTTGTCCATCGATGCATGGGACTTGCTGATGGCCTTGGAGGGCTTGTTTGTCCAAGTCCAGAGATTGGCGGCGGCAGAGCGAGAGTCCCAATGGAGTTGGGAAGCCGCCGGCGCCGAAGTGATCAATGTGATTCGACATCTTCTTCAACAGTCCGTGAATGTGATCAAAGAGCTATGTGGCGTCGCCAAGGCTAACAGTGATCATCTTCGCAAAGCTACAGGAAACAAGGCGTGGCATGCGAAATGGTCGCGCCGTGTTGCCGATATGCTCGCTCAATATCGGAAGACATGGGAAAGCGAAATTTCCTCAAAGCCTCTGACAAAGTTGTTCCTCTTGGAGTGGGATACACCTATGCCTAGATCGACAGGCGTCTGTTTCACGGACGTGTACCTCGATGAGAATTGGGATGTGGCTCCGAACTCGCGTGATCGGAATTGCTATTTGAAGCTGAAACTACCGTTACCTGTATGAACATGTGATCGCACAGAACCCCAACATTGATGTCAACAACTTCCGTAGCAGGCTTCGTCTCTTCCTCGAGTCTCTGTATTACAAGAACGACATGGATTCCAAATCAAGTTGTGCTTCCTCCACGCAGCCTTCAAGCGAGTATGCACTTCCAAAATGATCTTCCAGATCGGCAAAGGTGGCGATGGTAAAGGAATGCAATATTGGATCGCACCTTGTTCGGGGACCTTGCTTCCTCCACATTGGATTGTGGGGTCTTCTTGGACCGATCTGAATTCCGCAAATCTGCGGAGTTGGCATGGAACATGGCCAATGTTCGCATCCAAGAGATGGATCATAAGTCTTCCTTCCATGCCGACCTATGGAAGCGATTCGTAGTTGATGAAGACATCGACTGTCGGGTCAACTACGGCTTCACCACTAAGCGCAAATTTGGTGAGAGCTTGAAGGTGCAGGAGTTAAATTATGACAACATACCCACAATTGAGGAAGCTCGCGATCGCAACAAATGCTGCCAGCAACTGGAGAGACGCATCGTTTGTCTTCGCATGGGGAAGGGGAAACTCGTCAGTGATGTCAATGAGGTGGACACAGACAACGGCGTCTTCCTGTTGATTCCACAGGACGAACTATCTGCTTTCCTATCACATGAGATAACGGCCGCCCTGTTCCTACGGGAATACTGCATTCCGTTCTTCCAGGAAACGTCGTTAGCAGAGTCTTTGAGAATGATCAACGCTGGTGTTCATGCCGATCTTGTTCGTGATACCAAGTGGCTAGCTTCACGCCTTGCGGGCGGGAATACTCCGCCTCCTGGAGACGAGACGGATGATGTGAATGAGTTCAATAGACTAGTCATTGCTGCTCATTCGCAGACGCCCTGGAAGCGAGTCTTGAAAGAGTACCTCATCCACAAGATTGAGGCTCTGCCAGGAGCCATATACTCGTCGAAAGGAAAGCGCACTAAACTCTCTTATCTTATCGAGGCCGTGGACAACGCTGACGTGATCCTCTTGAAGCAAGTGGATCATGGCTGTTTCCACGAGCTCCTTCTGGATTGGACGAAACTACAGTTGGCCATGGACAATCACGGCGGCATCGACAAGTACGGGTCTTGGACGGAATGGGGCGATCCCTTAAACTTGCTGCACACGCAGGAGAAGTGGACAGGGGCAGCCTTCCACCATGACGCACAAATTATCCGACAAAACAAACCCTCGTCGAGGATCTCAGTGCGCTCGGGCGTAATAGCGAACTCATTATGGACGCTTGTTGTCGCGAGGACCTTCTGGTCAAAAGCTCACGCGTGAAGCAAGGTTCATTGCCTTCGGCTCTCACTGCGCCGAAGTCGACGCTCCTTCGTGCCATCCTCGTCTATTAGTTTCGAAGCTGCGCGAGTCTGAACTTTGGGATGAGGACAAGTTCCCCATGCTGAATAAGGTGGTGCAGTTCTACAAACAGTGGAGAGAATCTCTGGCACAGTATTCGGAGTGTACCGTTGAGGAAGCCAAGGTAGAGCTTATTCGCGCTGATCTTTATGAAGATCGTCCTAATCCAGAGTTAAGTCGGCTCTCAGCTCTCCTGTCTTTTGAGGAGGCGAAGCTCATGCATATCATGTCAGAGCATATGGGAGACTCTGTGCAAATGCTGCTCTTCGATGGGTGCTATGTTGAATGCGACAGTCTTGCTGCAGAGTTGGATGTCGTCGAAGCGTGTCGGGCATGTGAAGAGAGTGTGATTCCCATGGCCATCAAGTCGTGGCCTTCCGGCACGGAGCTGTCAAGCATAGCAAGGCTGTTGATTCGCAAGGATCCTAGACTTTGGAGTATCCGCCGGGCTAGCTTGCAAGGGCCAACCTCATCTTGCTTGCACTACGTGATTGCTGCGCTCCAGCCTGACTGCGACACTGACCTCTTGGAG